CTTCATCAAAACCTGTACCTGAGACAGAGATAACCTTTTATAAACAACTTTTCTGAAACAGATAGTCCTCTTAGGCCAATACAATAGAACTATTACTTACTGATGATGTGTAAATCCTTCTCCAAGTCAAACAGTGATATTCCACAAGCATGCAGACATTTTCTCGCAAGCTTGAGCTGCAGTTCCTGCTGCAGAGCTGGGTCTAGGCTCATTGTATAGATCCGAACCACAAAACCATCCTGAAGGTGTTAAGACCATAGATGTCAGTGATAGACAAGAAAATAAATCATCTTCATTGATTAAATTAAAATGAGTAAATGAATAAATATATGTGATGAACACTGTAGGTATATTATAGCAATCTAGAATATCTTAAGTAAAATCTGACACATAGTACATTTGGCCCAAAACCATTTTCTGCTACAAAATTTACCAAAAGGCTGATGCTTGATTACATAATACACACTGCCATGATGGTTACAATAGTAGAGTTACAACAGTTGAATATCTCCCCCTCCCCCACTCATACTACATTGGGCTTCTTAGAAGATTACATTCTCTGTAGAATAGTTGTATGTAGTGCCAGTGTCATTACTGCAATGTCACATATAACCATCTACACTCACTAAATGCATCAGGGTTATATGACGCAACAGATGTAATCTCCTTGGGAAAGACCACAGGACTTAATGCTCCCTTCAAATCAGAACAGTTTGTAGCCTACAGATTTTAATTAATTTATTCATGATCCAAATCCAAAATCTAGATATTGTGTCAGTGTTTAAGTCACCAAATTGCCTACAGCATAAAGAAGCAGTGGTGGTTAAGCTCTTCAATTTTTAAAAAATGTTTAAAATGTCAATGATTAAAACACATTCAACATACATCTTTGCAGGCTGCGATTTGGTTGATATATTCTCCATCAGTAAAGATGATGTTTTGTCCATCAGAATGTTGTCCTTTAAAGAGGAGATATCGATAATTATATAACTCAATTTATGTCAGACTATTAAAAAAATAAACATATTCCATTACCTGGCATAGAGACGGTTCCCTCATGTTCCAGTGTCTCAGGGTTGATCTTAAGAGCTGTCATACTGTGGTTACTAGTATCACGGTATAACAAGAACCCCTGAAGAGGACAATGATAACTCAGTATCTTTTGTACAACTAAATGAGTTTGTAAACTACGTAAAAGAAACACTACCTGAGCAAAACCCAACCATGATCTTTTCTCCTTTCGATTTCGGATGCGAGATGTGGAGTTGTACACATGGCCCTGAAAGACATTCCCAAGAGACCAGTAAACTAAATTAGTCGAGAGCATTTTAAACATGTATATTGCAGCAATCTGTCCCACATACCCTGACAGTCCCACTGTAGCCAGAGCCAACTTTGTAAAGGCCATCTTTGCAGAGCAAATACAAGAAGGATCCATCCGTTTGAAGAAGACAGCGCTCATCTTCATCTATGGAGACTTCTTTTAGAACCCATTTGTTCATCAGGGCTGCACGTTTGATACCATTACTAAACCAATCCTGAATCTGAATCTTCCCCACTAAAACAGCTTGCACACTTCTCTGCAATGCATTCAAAATAGTGGGAACCTACCAAAACAGAAAAGGCGTTAGGTAAAGAGCTTAAAGCGTAAAGATATGTTATGTGACATTTTGTGATTTTTTTTTTTTACATTCCCCTACAATGATGAAATTTTAGCTTACTGATTTTTATTTCATGGGTAAAGGCGAAGAAAACTACCTGTATGGTCTGACAGGCATGGCTTCCATTGTTTGTAAGAATTGCAGATACAGCCTGGAGGATTTTGCCAGTGTCTCCCCAGGACACCACCAGACTGAAGAGGCAGGCACACGACAAAGCAGTGATAGCCTGACCAGTTGGGTCATTGGGGCCTGTGCTCCGTACTGTGGTTTCAAGCAACAACTGGAATAAAGACTCTAAAAAAATATATGCATTGTTTGGGTCAGTTATTTCAAACATCTTTATCTGAGAGTCAACTATGCACCTGTACACACTGCGCAATTAACACACCATTTTACATTACAGTTGTTTGTTTTGTTATTAAATTCATATCATACCTAACACATCAGGGGGCTCAGTTTGAAAGCCCTCTGGCTGTTGTCCTTGCAGCATATCCAACAAAGCCTGTAGGCTACGCAAACAAAGTGAAGGGTGAGAGAACCGTGTCTCCTTTATTAGCTCAAATACGCCGCATAACCCAATACCAATGATCTACAAAAGAAAGGGAAAAAATATATATTTATAAATTTATTAATTTCTGAAATGCAAAATGCATATATGACAATAAAGGTTGCCTTGATATGCAAATTGTGATAAACTTCATTTACATACAAAATAATCTATTATATATAGATTGCCACCCTTTTAACAGCTCAAAATTCTGACACTATTAAACTCTATGGTCCATACATCTTTATACAACACATTGAAATATTTTTTTATTTGTTATTATTTTTAGCTTTATTCACACCACTTCCCTCAGTGTAGTCATATAAATCAGCAGAGTGTGATCTTTTGTTGCTTTCAGCCATTATTTTTGCAGTCAATAAAAAACAAGGGTGCAATATCCAGAAGTTGTTAGAAATCTGAAATGTATAATACTGGACCATTAAGATTAGAAGTGAACACACTACTCTTACCTGATGGTTCACACTCACTTTTGGCAGCTTGAATGCAGGTTCACGGTACTCTTCCTCTTCTTCACTGTCAGAGTCGCCACTTTGCACTGAGCTCCTAGAAGCCAGTGCTAGGGAGGCCTCTCTCTGCTGCCAGTCCAGCACACAGTGCCGCACATTGCAGTACACATTGAAAGCAGAAGGGTTGCTGTGAAGTTTGATATCTGGCACACACAGGGCTCCATCTAAACTTTCAGCCTAGATGATAATGAAGAAAGCATATTGTTGGAGCAAATCAGAGAAAAAAAGATAACTGTGTTGCAGTCCTGAAGGAACATTCATAGCAGTATTCTGTCAGAATCAAAAAAGCCTTTTGAATATGCCCATCTGAGAAAAGAAGAATGAGCAGCCCCTCTTTTCATATCAATATTTAAGCTTGATTTATTCAAAACAAAAGACAAAACAAAAAGGCTTAAATTATAATTTTCTTTAAAATGTTTCAAATGTTTAACAACATCATTAAAGTTGTTAGATGAACAATTATCCTCCGTCTAAAACAACAACTACATCTCATAGAGACTGCCTCTTTGGATGGAGATAGAGGCAGGCAACAGTTGCCGTGGAAACGGGAACACATTAGGTCGCTCGGCAACAGGACATCATGCACAAGTCAGAGCCACTCCCATGTGTCTCACAGCTACCCATGTCTCTCCGTATCTCAGCCTACTGGCATTCTGACCAACCAAAACATTGCACTTTTATTCTGTAATCAATCAGCTTTATACCTAGTTAGCGCAATAACCTCAAAACCAGTAAATTAAACATGTTTAAAAACATTATTCAATATAATTTTAATTCAAGATAAAAACATTTCTTACCTTTGTTCTGGATTTGACTTTTGATTTGACCTTCTGACGTCTTTTAAGTTTCTTCTTACTCAATGCTTTCTTTCCCCTGGATAAATAAGACAAAAACAGTAACTTAATTGAACTTAAATAAACTTAAATACACATAATTAAACTGTCTGAGTAATGTAATCTTAAAAATACATTATACAAAAATTGGATATGTGATGCTGGCAGCACCCATAAATGTCCATAAAATGTCCAGAAATTGAGTCTCTCTCGCTCTCTCTCTGTCTTAAATGATTGCATTGCAAATTAAAGGCTGTGTTCCCAAAGCACATACACACTTCAGAAAGTGGTAATAGATAAACAACAACAAAGGACAAGTTTGAAAACTACAAATGACAGGCCAATCTGACAGAATGACGTCACCTAAGTGCATTTACTCGCTAGTGCTACTGTACTGGGCACCTGTCCATCATCCTCACCCAAACACTTCAAGAGTACGTGTGTCCAACAACATCTCTGTTTTAATCAGTTACTTTATTATTTCTGCTTGATTACTTATGATGACACCAGCAAATAGCACAACTATAATACAAAATAAATTCACAATAACAGACGATGATGTTAAGTCTGAGCGGAATTCAACACATTTCATGGTAAAAGCGACCAGGCATACATAATCTAGCTTCAGCAATACTAATAATGTAAGATCACGCCTAATATAATACCTGCCCAGGGCCGTATCTGTGCTGTACGTTTGTATGTCTGTACATGCGGAGCTAGGTTAGCTTAATTGCTAGCTACCGTTAGAGTACTAAATGACAGCGCTAACGTTAGCTAGCTTGTTTGGAGTAAACAATCAGTGCATTTAGGGTAATTTAATTGCAGCGACCATTATGATCGAGTAAATATTTGTAATTTGGAAAAAAGACATGCAGTGACACCTTCATTTATGTTTTGTTCTGCCACAGCATTAGCGTGACTGACTGATAAGAGCTAAGGAAGTCATTCCGGCAAAATGCTACTCAGCAATCTGACCCCTACACCCAAACACCAGGCTGCAGCTCTTCTTAAAATGTTTAATTGAAGAATTACTATATATCTGATTATGTCAACCAAAAATAGATGCAAAATAGTGGAGGGCATCTGTGCAGTATGCGTTGATCTAAGAAACATCATAGCTGAATCAAGGGTTATATGGCTAGCACTCATTAGCCTTGCTAGCAACTCAAAACAGCACAGCTACTGTTTATAAAATTAAGAATGAGAAGAACGCAAACCACCCACCTTCCTTGATTTATCCCTTGCTCTTTATCGCTGATAGCTGTGGTATAAATCCTCCTATACCTTTCAGCTAAAGCTCGCCCTGAGAGTAAAAGCTGGTACCGAGTCCGACAGTCTGACTGGGGTCCCTGAACTGGGCAAGACCCCATCCCAGAACCGATGGAGGAGAAGTCGGTTCCAGCAGCAGAAATAACCCGGACACCCAGCGCCATCGACGGCGAGGATGAGGGGAGGACACCTCCACCACCACCGGCGGCGGCCGCTGCCGCAGCAGCACACATCATCGTTTTGGAGAACACTGCATATATCACACAATGTCAGCCAGGCAGGATATAGCCATCACAGGTACACCACCAGTCCTTATATCCAATAGCGTCACATCATTTGATCATTCTTTGGAAAAATATTGTACAATAACACCTAGACCGTCCTGTTATTGAAAGCGCAAATTGTTGCCAATCTAGTGGTGCACCTAACCGTCCACCAATCCGTCCAAGCGCAAACTCCAATCCTCATTCAGTATCCTTCTCAGTTCAAAACAGCGCTGTTAGCAAATATAGCAAAAACACATATCCACATAAAGTCTCTCATCGTGTGTTAGATGGATTCGTCTCTTGAATATTTTTTAGCCTGGAGAGGCAGCACCCTCAGTCGGGCTGCCATCTTAGCTCCATCATCCCGACCCTCCCCTCCCAAGCAGAGTCTTGCGTCGTTAGCATGCCGGGATATTTTCATATGACAAAACTGGTTGCCGTTTATTTGCGAAAGTATGACAAATGGACTGTAGGGCACGAATGGAAAAGTAAGTTTACATGTTATTAAAAACACGAACATGAAATAGCCTTTATTTGTGATTTGTAGCCCTCTACTTTATACATGTGACAAAATTCTGAAGCAGGATCAATGCATTAATCAAGGACCTGGTGGGCTGGACTATTTTCTTTACTAAAAGCCTAGGCTCTTAGGTGTGCAAAGCCCGCGGACAAAACAGGCATATAATAGCCCACATTTTAGTTTATAGGTCCTGTAGGTATATACCTTGAACTCAAAAGTGTGAATAGTGTCAACAGGCCTATGTCATCTTAAAAAAACACTATTCATGCTTCTTATGACTAACTTGTCCCATTTGGATATCATATGAAGCCTAAAAGAAGTACGATTTAGACATGTAGGTGTATGCCTTCTACTCACTTAGCTTATGTTGCTAAAAAATGGAATAACACTGCCTTTCTCACTCTGATTATATTTTCAGCCACGGATAAAGTTGATCTACTAGACCTTTATTGGCCACTGAGCAGCCCACTGGATGAAGAGATCCCTGTAACTCTCATAGCAACCCAGGGAGCATGTTGTCCTATCAAGCATCAGCAGTGTTGACAGGTGACTCTGAACAGAAGAATTTAGCAAACATCTCCTGCGTAATCATAGGACTGGCCAAATGAACAAGGAAAACCTGTCTATTATACTATCCTCCTATCTCCACCTTGGCTTGAAAGTGTGCAAGATGCTGGTAGCTAGTAGAGTGGCTACCCATAGGCTACTGAAAAGTTTGAGAACAACTAAAGCAAACCTAGTCTACTGAATAGAGTATGCCTACAAAATATTTTAATTCAATGTTGGTGGAAGTCTGACTTTTCTTTTGAATGTTTATAACTTAATTTAAATGTCCATAACTTAAACAGTTAACCAGACAATGAAGAGGAAATCTAATGCCATCAGGTGTCAAACATTATCCTTGGAATATTGGATAAAAATAAAGCATTAAGATGATTAAAATATGTTTTTAATAAAATTATACACTTTTGAGAACCATGCAGCATTCCTACATGCAGTCATCATGCCATGGAGAGGTTTGCCCATCATAATAATGTGTCACACCTTAGAGTGTTATGCACCTTTCATACCTTTGATCAGTCACTCTCGGACACTCCCAAAGTGTACTGGCCCAGTTTGGGACATCTTTTCAGACCATTAAATGTCTTATGGATTAATGGGGTTAATTCAGTTTTCATAGTGTTAGGTATGAAAAATATGTAATTATTTGTAAATGGCCAAATTAGCCTAATTTTACCATACCTCTGATAAGACGGTATGGTATAGTATTTTCTTAATTATCCAAAATATCTGCTTTTAACACGCTGTGCAGCTAAAGTGGGCATTGTAACTATATATACAATTCAAGTTTAGATAAAGCCAGTGTGGTTTACCATCACATGTGATGTCTTCAAAAAGGTTTACAGTCTAAAGTGGTCTGTTTATTCAAAAATTTTAAAGTTTTATATACACCAAGAGGATTTGAGCACAATGGATGCCAGCTCAAGAGGCATGCTGAAAGACAGAATTCCTTGATTGTTGTCTGAGGCCACACCCTTGGCCTTGGGATCACCTCCCTTAGGGTTAAAACAGGCGAAAAGCAAAAGCTGAGATTGTAGACAGCAGATTACCCAGGTGACAGAAGCTGCCTCCTGTAAGAGTTTTATTTGCACCCTGTCCAGAGCTCTCAGTCAAGGTATGTGGTCCTTCTTTTAATGATTTTATGAATTATAGTAGGCAAGGGTTCTGTAATTGTTTTTCTTCAGTTGTACTGTTTGATCATTTATTTAATATATATATATATTTTTTTATTACTGCACTCTTACCATTTTTATTAGTTACAATCTATTTTTGTATTAATTCATTTTTTGAATGTCATCTTTCAGAGAGAAAACGCAAATAAAAATGTCCTTGGTTCATATCAATCCAAAAGCTTTTTATTAATGTTTGTCCATGGTGTAGCCTACTGAGTCCAACTGGATCAGTAAGGGTTCCCAGATTATTTGTCCCAGATGTGCATATTTTGAATATGACAGTTTATTTATTAATCTTCAAAGTTCAAGGTGACAACAAATTATTTTAGTCCATTCATAATTTTATAAATGCATTCTATATAACTTATAAGTTCCATGCAGGCTTTATTTGTACGTTTTGTAGGCAAATCGTTAACAAATGCCTACTCTTCCTTTTTGTGTCCTTAGTGTTGAGTAAGAGTGTATATGTGGTTCAAAGAGCACAGTCTTTATCTTCAATGGATAATGGCATGTTTCTCTGTTTTGCTGTCAATGGCATGTTTGAAAAAGGTGTGTTATATAAAAGGAAGGTGTGTCCTCATAGTAGACAGTGATCGAGACAAACCAGTTTGCCTTTCATACGCGAAACTTGGATTGGCATTTTGTAATTGGCAAAGTTATTTATACAGCTGTGGAAATATGCATTAATTTACTCTTCCAAGTGCAACCTTTTTTGTTGATATATAGTTCCATCTAGTGGTATATATAGTAAATTGACCGATGAATAATTTTTGTGTGAAAGGTTTGCAAGAGACAAAATGAGCAGATCCACATATAGTAAGTAATGCAGTTGTATCATTATACTAGAGAATATAGTGACTGGATTCATAAGATGACAAACAATTGTTCTTACAGCTACTTACAACAGCCCTAGTCAGGCGATAGAAGATAGCAAAAAGAGAACATCTCTCTTGAAGGACAACAGTTGGATCAAAAAACCAGATGAAGAGGATGAAACCGTTGAGTAAGAATAATTTACAACGTCATTGTAACAACACAGTAAAATCTTGATTAGGTTTCTCACTAGTTAACGTGCCACTGTGTTGATTAAATTGTTTCGCTTGTCCATAGCCGGGACCCAAACTTTGGGAGGAGTGTTTTGGGTCGATACAAGACAACTGAAACCGTTGTGAGGTAACATTATCAAATAAAAATTAATGAAAATAAAGTATTGTAAGAGGCATTTCACATGGTTTTAATATTATTGTTTATTTGGACAGTTCTGAGCCATCACAGTCAAGTACATTTACTTCAAGAACTTCAACCACTTCAGCCAGCTCAGTTGGAGCTCTGACCAAGAGGTATGATAGATGCCAGTGTTCATTATGTTTGATAGTATTTTTCTTTATTTTTTTATTCTTGTTCCTTTTATCAGATTTACTACAAATCAAGATGAACTGGATTCCAGGTTAGTGGAAAAAATATGATTATGCCCATACAGTTAGAAACTTGCTGTATAACAAATACTGGCAAATTTACAGACATGTTTATTAATGTGCATTGCCCCCTTTCAAATAAACTAATAAATATATTTCTGATCCATCTTATCTTGTAATTTTGTTTCTTATTACAGTAGCAGCCCGACCAGGACCTCTTACACCAGGAAGTATGTCATCTAGTCATCTAATTTTCACCATCAGATCAAATGTGCCAGTATATATTTAGAATATTTCTTTCTTTTACAGTACTTACTCATCAGTAACATCTCCCAAAAGGTGAATGTACTTTCCACACCGTAATGTTAAAACATTGCTTGTCTCCCCAGGAATTCTGTAGTAACAAAAATGCCTAAAACCTCCTTATCTAAAGCATAGCGTGTTCAATAGCATTTTATTAATTAGTGTGTTGATTTCTTTTGTGTTCAGTACTACAACAACTACTGTCACAGGAGATGGGAAAACAACTGAAACTACTATTACCACCACCACTCAAAAGTACTTTTTTTTTTTTTACACATTTTATCCTTTGTATAAGACATTCCTCTGTATAGGATTACTAATTTAAATCTTTGGCAGGTCATCTAACAAAACTGACTCATTCACAGAGAGAGTGTTTTCAGACAAAACAAAGGGGTGAGTAGTTACTGTTATCTAACCTGTTAAACAAAATATTTGGCATCACAAAAATCCATCCATCCACACAGGTCACTTTACACAAGCTATTCTCCAAGCAAAAAAACGACAGTAACTGAGACAACCACCACCAGCAGCAGCTCCAATGAGTAAGTTTACACTTAGCCAATTTAAAATCCCCACATTTTTTTCAGTTTTTAAAATACATTATTTTTTTCTGTGCAGTGGCGGCAACAAACTCTATGACTCCATGAAGGACAGGTAGCTACTTCGTGCCTTGTTATGCTTAATAATTATGTGCTTTCTAGGGTTTGTTTGGCATTGGTGGAGCAAAAATATGGTAGCAATGTTATTAGACTAACAATAATAGTTTTTGCTCACATATTCTGGCTTTTTGTATATTGTTTAGAGCAATAATGCATCAAAATTACTTTATTTTCTGTATTATAACAAAACAAATGTTTACAAAACTCAAACTGTGACTGTAAGAAGCTCAGGAGACACGTAAGTTCCTGACAACCACCAAGTCATTATCCAAAGTATACTAATAGTAAAAAACATGCTTTACTTTTAGTGCAGAGGACAAGCTTTATGATACTCTCATTCCTTCAACAATTAAGGACGAAAGGTAGTAGTCAATACTGCAGCTACATCTGTAATAAAATTAAACAAGTAAGACATTTAATCAATGTGTTTTTGCAGCAAAAGAATTACCACTGAGACTGTAACTATCAGCAGCAATGACCTGTGAGTGAAAAGCACATCATGATAACTGTAGTAAAAACAGCAGTAAATCAGTAAAGTTTTTTTCTCCCTTAGGGATGATGTTGAAACCACAACCTCTACAAGATCTTCCACTTCAGCGTAAGTTTTAATATTGTTTAAAATAAATTTGAATTTCTCTAGTCTTTTTAGTAAATGGCCATGCCTTTGCAGAGCTGAAGATCAATTGTATGATACTCTGATACCATTAAGCATATCTAAACCATCCACTCCAACGAGGTAAAGTGCTAAACAATACTAAACAGAAATGAAGCATAGACGTGAGCATAATTCTTTATATATTTAATAGCTCCAGTATTACCAAGAGAGACATCTATTCAGTGAGCAGCAGCGGGTAAGCAATGTGTATTAAATATGCAGACATCAGAATGTTTCCTATAATCTTAAGGTCTAAAATTCTTTATTTAGAAGCGACAGCCCAACTTTTTCATCCACCACCCGAACCAGCAGGTATGGTCTTTTTTCTTAAAGGACATTTTTTTTTTAGTAATTGCTTATGTATCCTCTTTAAATATGGAAAATGTTGAGGGTCCTTTGAATGTGTGTAGGATTGAAAGAGTCTGAGTAATAATAATTTTGGGATAAAAGTTTGACCTCCAAGAGTTTAGTATATGATTGTGGATATGATAAGCCTATTTGTTGCAGGCTAAATAAATGAACATGAATGCAGACAATCTTTTAAAAGCCTATTGTACAAAGTCTTCATGTCATTTTCTTTTACAGCTACAGCTCTTACACTGATCCCTCAAGTCGCACTTCAACCTACACTATCAGCAGTAAGACTAGGTGGGGTTTTAAAAGAACAATAAATAGCTTATTTAACAATAATAAATAAATTTTAAACATAAAATATAATATAAAACCACCAGGTAATTAGATTTAACAGACTTTTTTTTTCAGGAGCGATGACATTATGGGTGACACCTACTCCAGATCCTCTGTTAAAAATATATACACTGCACCAGAAAGGTAGAAGTTTGAATGAAATCTTGTGTTTTATTTAGTTATTTATTTATTTGCATAGTTTAACACATAATTAAACCACATTTTAGGCCAGTCCTAGAGAAAGATCTGTGCAGCAACTGCCGTAAACCCTTTATTGGAGATGCAAAGATTATCCTGGATGACAGGAAGATCAACTGTCATGCTTCCTGCTTCAAAGTGAGGCCAAATATATCTCAATATAGTGTTGTTGTTAGTATTGTAACTTAATTCTAATAAGAATTCTATGATCCATTTTTAGTGTGAAGTGTGCAACAGCACTCTGGGTCATCTGAAAGCTGGGGACAGCATGTGGATCTACAAAAACATGGTGCACTGTGAGAGATGCTATGAGGTCACCAGAGGTAAAATAGCCCATTTAGGCCCTAGCCATATATTAGTAACATTTATTTAAATAATTATTTTAAAAATGTCTTGGTTCCACAGATAAATGGAGGCGTTAACCGGTACGATAAAGATTTTACATGAAGAAAACAAGCACTTACCTTTAATAATTTATGTTATTTTTAAGAAGGGAATAGAATATGCTACAGGTTTTGTTACTCATACTTTGGTGCATTCGCTTTTTGATTTCCAGGCTTTCCTTTGCTGGATTTAAAGCAATATTTTGGGCCGGGGGCTTTTGCTGTGTGCAATATTTTGTCTGCTTAAAAATAGGCTTGCACAGTTATTATAGAATAACTGTATAGACTAAAGATCATTTATGCAACTGTATTGTACTACAGAAATATCAATGACTATAGCCTATTTTACGTGCAAAATTCTGTTATAAAGTGATGCATAATGTCTGATTTGTCTGTTTTATATTGTGTCCTCGGGAAGCGGCTATTTTAGGGTAAAATAAAATATTCTATATTGAAATGTGGGTGCGGGGTTATTGCATTTAATTTAGTCCTTGTACAGGGGACATATAAATAAAACGTTAAACGTGTCTGTGTGTAGTCTATTCTTTAACCGCACGCTGCTGACCAATAGGAGCAGAGCGTTGCCGTCCTCCCAGCAGCAGTAGCATCAGCATCAGTAGCAGTGCATGCATGCACAGTAGCCTCACGCGAAGAAACCTGGACACCCCAAACAGAAGCGGAGGACCCTCTGTGCGTCAGGCCGTGCGTTTTGTCTGCGTCCCAATGTGCTTTTTACCAAATGGAAGCAGAGGTGGCGAGCCCCCAGATAATGGCCGACGTTAACGGTAACAATAAAATGACCAACGCTGAGCTCGAGGTGATAAAGCTTCAAGAATTGGTGCGAAAATTGGAGAGGCAAAACGAACAATTGCGGACTCGAGCTAATGCTGTAAACCATTGTACAGTGGGCCCACCACAGCTCCAGACCAGCGCGCTGTCGTGTCTGCGCGGCGGTACAGTCTGTCCGGGGGAGAGTTTATTTCAAAATGTTGACATTTCCAGTCCGTCAAAGACACCGCTGTGTACCGCTACGCGTCGGGGTTCATCAGAGGAACCATTTGCCTATTTTCAGCCAAGCTCCACGTCTCCTCCTGGTGCGGCCGAAGATGACAACGCTGCCTCCGAACCGACAACAGTGTTGGATGAGGTTGAGGTTTTAGACTTGGGCTGTGTGCTCCCCATTGAGGAACCGGATAGATGGTAGGCTAATATAGTTTACTCAAACTGCGACTGTCATTTAATGAATCAGTTGTGCTCTTGCAACCATCAGCTTTAACCATGTGTGATAATGTTATCTCTGCTTCCATCTTCTGTTTATTGATCTCTCGCTGAAGACGTTTTGAGGGCATATAAATAACTAACACAGGAAAAACAAGCGTTTGGTTTCCCAGATTGCACCGTGCAGGTATCTATTTTGAGCGCTCAAGAACACTGGATTCATTTAGGAACAATGTCTTCCTCCAGCCCGTGATCTAACAGCGAGCTTTGTACTTGCCCCCTGGGCAGCCAAGTTGAACTAGGCTACTGGTAACTCTTGTGAAGCGACTACTAAAGATGTAGCTATCTTGTGTAGGGATGTGGAAAATATAGGCCTAATCTACTGCTCCACCATTCACCATCCCCATTGCATTTAAAATAACTAGTGGTTTGAAATGACCCATTTAACTCTGCCAGGGATGCCCTCTTTTCTAAGTAGAGAAGGGAAAATTGGCTTCAGTACATTGCAACAACTATAAACCAGTTGTACTCATGTAATAGGCACTGTCCTCTACAAAAAGTTTTGTACAAAAAGTAGTGTGCTAAAATAAGGAAGAAGACTACTTAAAACCTATGTCATCATCATAACTTCTGAATGTATTGCAGGCTGTATGCAAGTCCCAAGGAGAGCTTAAATGGTGACAGTGCCCTTAGTCCGCTCCAGTGGTGCAGGCAAGTCCTGGACCACCCAGGTCCTGAGGTACAACTGGCCAGGATGACACTATGTCACAGACTGGATCAAGGTAACAGTTAATGTTTTTACAATCTGGATTACTATTAGGCCCCTCACATATGCAGCAGCTGGACATCACTTGAGACATGTGACCATAAACACGTGCAGCAGGATTTTTGTGAGAGGATTACTATATTTAGTCAAACTAATTTACCAACTTTGACATTTTTAATAGTAACTGCAGGCTGAATTTACTACATTATTTATTGAATTATCTTGTTTGGTTGCATTTACATACAGGCAGAATTGTTGTCTTGCTTACTATTCACACCTCTTCTGTTTAATAGGCAGCTTAGGCATATGTCATGTATTTTTATGCACCTTTATAATAATAGTTATACTAGTTGTGTAGATGGATTTTGAAACTTTTTTTCAACATTTGTAAGCACTGTATTTGTTGCCATAGAAACCTGTGTAGCTGGACTAACCTGCATTTTCAAAGTTGCCTTGCTGTCACTGTTTAGAAAATATTTTTCACCTGAGCATTCAAGTGAAATATTTTTTGTCTTCTGTCCAATGGCTTGAACAATGCCAATTTTATGTTTAAAGCCATAGTCAACATAGAAATATTTCCCAATAAACCAACCTCATCTGAAATGTAGGCTAGATGTGCAATCCCTGCTTACGATAAGATACTTTAGAAACAGTATTTATCCTAATAAATCACTGTGCAAAACAAGATTTATCTAGCGCCATCATCCCCTTCAATCTGAGCTTGGACCTAATAATGTAAAACACAAAATGTCAAGAAGATTAGCATGTCTTTAGAGTAACTAACATGGGAATGTTCTCCTAGCTAAACGGTGGAGAGGAGTTTCTTCTGTCCGTCCATACAGCTGTATAGAGGGTTTTTCTACTTTGAGCTGCCCAGTCTTGCCTTACTCTAAACCTTCTGCACTATCTGAACCCACAGGTAAATATCATACAATTCTGATGTGTTCACATTGGGTCATTTTGCATAAAAGAAAAATATGCTTTACTTAGTAATGGTCTTCAAATTTAAGTTAAAGGTGCATTATGTAACTTTTCCGGCACAGGGTCCACCATCTATACTTGTTTCGACGATACTGCTTTACTTGGAATGTTTTATTATGTATATTAGTATAAAACCTCCTGGGGGATAAACAGGTAACATGCCAGGCCAAGGTACACAAACTCTTGCACATGGAAACCATGCAAATGTAAGCATGGAAGTCTAAATTACTTTAGGTATGAGCATAATGCACTTACCATCCCAAGCACCTTCTTGTTGCCATGTTTTAGCTCTTTTATATATTTAATCTCTTGTGTCATTGAATGTATGTCCATCCATCCATGCATGAATGTATGTTGTGAACAAATTTCCCTTAGGTAACAACATTTTTTATACTCTATTTATATAATATTTCTTTGTGTTTTTCTTTTTCTTAGCTCCCTTGCCATCTGGGCAATCTTTTCTTCTGCCCACCCCCACACTTAGAGCAAGTTGCAGCCTAAGTGACAGAGCGCCTACCTTCTTATCAAACTCTACTTTACACAGTAAGATACTGCCAGAATATAACACATTTGGAATAGAGATTGGGAAGAACTATCCTGATGTGAGTCTGCTCTTTCAGATCTGGGTCGACGACATGCAACAATCAGCCCTCAGTCTTCCTTGGACAGTGAAGTGGGTGTGTCAGAACTGGAAGACGACTCTATTTCAATGAGCTACAAGTTACAGGACATGACAGACGTGGAGGTCATGGCACGGCTTCAAGAGGAGAGTGAGTCAACTCGCTACTTACTATACAGCCATTGGAATGAGTTGGCAGTGAGATTTATTTGATATGTCTGCATGGTGGTAAATTATGCATGAGATACCATATAAACTTTTCAATATCAGTGTATTCAACCTTTTTACCTCTTGAATAAATCATCATCTTAACCTCGCAAGAAATCATATCCCTTACAGTGAAAAACGCACCACATAATTATCTGTTGTCTTATAGGTCTCAGACAAGACTATGCCTCTACCTCATCAACAACTAGTCGTCGCAGTTCCACTTTTTCCATACACTCCCTGAGGAGAAGTGAAATGGATCTGGAGGAAGAAGATGAGGAGGACGAAGGTTACGACCAGCTTCCTCCTCCTCAACCTCGACTCTTTCGTACTGGGTCTATGCAGCGAGCTGGTCTGCCCCACTCTCACACCTTCTCCTCTATAAGAGACTGCAGACGCAGCACCTCTCAGTTTTCACTCAATGGACTTTCACAGTTCTCGGGGCCCTCAAGCCTGACTACTGAATCACCAACACTGTCAAACAACAGCACAGGTAAGCATGTAATTTTCAGTATTCTTCAATATGTCATAACGTATATTACTGAACATCTTTGTTTGAATCTGCATAATAATTGTAATTATATAAATAAGAGTGTAATGCATTACATATTTCAAAAGCCAGTTTTTATTTTTTTCTATGCTTGCATAGACAAACTTCGAAGAAGCATGCCCAATCTGATTCGAGCTCCAAGCATGCCTAGTGTTCCTAGTATCCCCTGCCTGTCAACCCTTGCAAACCCTGCACATGGCCCCTCATCTTTACCTTCAATGCCCACCCTCCGGAACAGCCAAAGTTTTGACTCATCCAGTGGACTTGCACGGCTTCAGTCCTCTAGTAAGACTATGATTTAAATAATTTTTTAAACCTTTGCTTCAGCTTTCTGTCTATTTGAAAAGTCAAGATAATAAGAATATTGCTCTTTCAGTTCCCCCTCCAGGTCAGCTTAGTCAGCGTGTTCAGAGTGTGGGCAACTTCCCATCTATGCCTCGGCACCCTCTAAAAGCCACTGCCTATGTGAGTCCAACCATCCAGCATAGTCCCACCTCCACAGGCCTAACCACCTCCACCAGTTTGAATTCTATCTCCAGCAGTGCTGGACTGCCTCAGCCTCTCAAACCTAGCAGCAGCAGCTTGGTACCCCTTTCTTTAAAGGCTAGCTCCAATCACCCTCCTCGAAGCTCTCTTCCACGTCCAGCATCTTTTGTAGGAACAAGTTTACGCACAAGCAAAATTTCACAGCCCACACGGAGGTAAGTACATGCATGCATGTACTGTTATATAAAATTTGATTGACATTTTACTAAGATTTGTCCTTCATTCCTTCTCAGTTTACTGACTCCCCCAAAGAGCATTGCTGCCCTAAGCGCATTAAGGGATGGAAGCTGGAAAGATGGATGCTATTAAGTTAACTAATAATTAAATTAATGCTAATGGTGCACAGGGTTATACTGTAGTAACTGAAGAATTGTTTGGAGATGTACACTGTCAGAATTATATAAAATTTGGACTATGAGCCAAGTAGAGAAGGACTGTTAACACCCAAAAGCACTTCTTTTTGAGGAAAGGTCCAATAAAAGGGTTATGATGGGTCCAGCAGGCTGGATTATTACCCTTGAAAAAGACCTTGAAACAGACTGAGACAGCCAGCTAAATAACCTGGCAATACTTTTAAGATAATTTACTAATCAAAGTGTATGTTTTATTTTGTGCTTTGCTTTTTGTTGTGTGTTTTTCATTAATTAATTAATGTGCAGCTATTTTGATGATCCTAAAGGTAATGCATTTGTCTTGGTGTATATAAACTGTTTTTCTTTACTTAAAATAACATTAATGCTCATCACATACGGTATTCTGTTACATCATGTGCCTTCTAAAGGTTGTATGGTTGTAGCAGGTTTGTATTTTTGTAGCTTCTATTATCACAATTTAACAATTTAAATTTCAATTTTCAATTTAACTTGTAAATCTGGTGAGGCATTATTTTGGCTTTTTCTTACAACTGTTGTTTGCACAACAGATACTTGTTTAATTTACATGAGTGCTGCATTAATCTTGCACATGGAATCCTAATGCTTTCTTTCATGAATAAAAAGACATTTGTAAGGTGAAAGGCATGAAAAGACTATTTGCTTTGTCTTCATTGCACCAAATGTACCAGGGTTACTAGTTAAGGCTGGTAAGACTGCTTTGTATGCTGTTTAATAAGTGATATCAAGTGACTAATGTTTAACTGACTTACCTGTTTTGTTTTGAATCTCCTCAGTAACAGTACATATTTTGCTTGTATGTACTCTATGAAAAGTACAGTTTTTACTCTACAGTTTACAGTTATTACCTGACTATAAACTTTTAATTTGGAGTGACCTTTTTTAGAAGCTCTAGTCTACATTTATGCGTTTGGGAGAAACGATGCCTAACAAAACACAAGAGGTGAGTATCTGGTGTGATTTGTTTTAGCTGTTCTAGATGTAAAAGTTAAATAATTAGTGTTTTCATTCATAGTTTACTATGCTTTTAGGATGCTGTTATAAATCTGAAAACACTGCAGGAGTTCTCCTCTCATCTGGGCTTTGAGTGGCCTGTTCTTGCATATGAGCTCGGTTTTAACAGATCAGAGATTGCTAAATTTCACTCGAAATCCAAAGGCAAAAAAACCCAAGCCAGGGCCATGTTAGAAAGCTGGTAATGTGAATCTTTGTTACAAGCTTAATTATGCATGATAGTCTACAGTAAGGAAATGTATATAAGGTCTGCATATTTTGGTGTGTTATTTTCAATTCAGGTATGAGAAATCATGTGAAAAGCCCAACAAAACAAAACTCCTTCAAGATGGACTGGAGCGAGCAGGGAGAAGAGATCTGGCCGAGAAGTTACGTTGCATACACTGGGGACATCAGAAGCTGAGCCGCAGGGTGGAGCTGCCCTCTGCTTTTCCCTTTCTAATCACTGTGCACAAAACTATCCAAAACCAAGAAGGGCTAAAAAGGATTAACGATCTCAACTGTAGACACATGCACTGCAACTAAATAAATTTTTTTAAATGTGTATATATTTTGTCCATATATTTTTCCTCGACAAAATATAATACAAATTAATTTCAATCAATCAATCAAACTTTTATTTGTATAGCATTTTTCATACATTTGAAATGTAGTACAAAGTGCTAATTTAAATGTAAATATACTTAAATTGGGTCAATAGTAGTAGTAGTAGTAGTAGTAGTAATTTAGGGGTAGCTCTATGGTCTTAATATTATTTATTTACTTTAAAATTATATTACAGTAGGGCTGCATGCAAACCAATCAGAGCATAGCTTACAAAGGTCGAGGGGGGATTGCTTTCAAAATAAAATAAGCGGATTATATTCGAAATTTCTATAGAATTTGAAATCATAAATGCGAGAGAAAAATGTATTTATTTCAAAAGATAAATTACACATGATGCTACATTTCGTGAATATTTACAAATAAAAGCGACAGTTTGTATCGTACATATTTTATCTTGATAGACTCTCCCGGAAATTCACTGTGGAAGCAGCCATCTGTTATTTTACAGCCTGACTGGCTACGCTTAGTTAAAATCCGTCTGGTAGGCAGCCTATATTTACCAAGCGAACAAGTCTTATTGCTGATGACTTTTTGCAGAACAAGGACGTTTTGTCTTATCGTAATGGCAAGATCTATGAAATGTCGTTAAAATGATGGCTTTATGGCGGTCGTTTTTACATACATGGACCCGCTGGTGATGGATTTTAGCTTACTGTATTCCGTCTACGTCGTGTTAGTGCCAGCAACCTTTGTGGAATATGCTAAACGAATGACTTCAATGTGCTTCATCCGAACGTCAGCAAGTCTTTATAATTAGACATCAATGGCTTCAGCGTTGAATTGCTTCGGCGGTCCGGAGGTGCTAGAGGACGCAAATCACGCTCAGGGGGTAATGAAGCAAATGAAACTGCTGTACGACTGTCATCTGCTGGGAGACGTGACCATCGAAGTTTTGAGCGAAGGGGACTTACTGGAGCACGGCGGCGACACTGCCACTGGGGACAGACCTCAACTTTTTCTGTGCAGCCGTATCGTTCTAGCTTCGGCCAGTCCCTACTTTAAAAGTATGTTTACTGGGGGCTTGAATGAAAGTATTCAACAGAGGGTGGTCATCCGTGGTGTGGATGCAGAATCCATGTCAGTCATTATAGACTACTGTTACACAGGCAGAGTTTCTATCACAGAAAGAAATGTCCAAAGACTATATGCTGCATCTAACATGCTTCAACTTGAATATATAAGGGAGGCTTGCTCTAGTTTTATGACAAGACGACTGGACCTTTCCAATTGCGTCATGATTTTAAAATTTGCTGACACTTTTGACAATCCTGATCTTAAACATAATGCCCAAGCTTTCATAGCTAGAAACTTCAATTTGCTGTGCAATACTGGGGAATTATGTGGCCTGGACTTGAAACAACTGAAAGAACTTCTCCTGCTAGATTCCTTAGATGTTGACTGTGAAAGAAAAGTATGCTCTGCAGCCTTACAATGGATTGAGGCAAATGCTTCACAGGAAGATGCAATACAAGTTCTTAAATGTGTGCGCTGGGATTTGTTTACAGAAAAAGACAAGTGTTATCTTGAAGGTCTTATGGCAAGGCCTTTCCTTGATACTTACATTGCTTCTGTTTTCAATTCCTCCCCAGATAGCAACTGTGAACTTCCTGCGCCTTTGCCAAAACACAGAATAGGTGTGAGTGCCAAAGAAATGATAATTTTCTTTGGTTTGCCAAATGATAACATAATGTGCTGTGATCCTTATTCAGAGGATCTCTACTTCATGTCTCCACCTCTTCAAGACTTGAGCAGCCAGGATTACAAACGCTTTACTGTGGAGTCCCTAAATGCCTGTGCAAGCCCAGAAAACAACCTGTACCTCGCTTCACACCTGTCAAAACATTTCTGGTTGTACAATCCAGTGAAAAACTCCTGGCAGGAGTTGGCAGAGAGACCTCTTGGAAGGATTCACTCAGGAATGGGTTACCTCAATGGTCATGTGTACCTTTTAGGTGGTAGAAACCCAGTTACTGATGCCAGAATAAAAGAAGTTGAATGTTACAGTGTTCAAAGGAACCAGTGGACATTTGTAGCTCCTCTTCCTCACTCTCTGGGAAAAATGCAAGTAGTGGCACTGAATGATCACTTGTATGTTGTGAATAAAAGACGAATGCTCTGTTATGACCCCAAGAAGAACCGCTGGCGTCACTGTGGGTCACTGAGGCGAGACAAGTTACACAAAGCTTGCGTTTTTCAAGACCAAATTATCTGTGTTTGTGACATTCCTGTTGTGAAGGCCTATAGTCCGACCAGAGGGGAGTGGAGGAGATTGCGTGATATTCCTATAGATAGTCGCGCCCTAAATTACCAGGTGATCCAGCACAATGGCAAATTGCTTCTGCTCACACAAACTCTTCTGCAGCATAACAAAAACAGGGTACTTATTCATGAATATGATCCAGTCCGAGACAGCTGGAAGGGCATTATGGCAGTTTATGTATCCACTTTGGGCCCTGTGTGTGTCTCAATGCGTGTTTACCCAGCATGCCTCAGTTCAGCTCGCAGGTTCTCTGTTGAGGAGGATGATGACAGCGGGTCCAGTGCGGATTGGGACTTTGATGGACTGACAGATGCAGACACTGATTCAGGCAGCTCTAGCTCATTCTCAGATGAAAACTGGTAGTGGGCATTGATTAACTTCCTCTTATAGTTGTTAATTTATTTTTTATTTAATTATGTAAAATGGTTAGGGATGACTAAATGGTGGGAAAATATGAATATGCTTTACCGGTATTTATTATTAGCCTGATTCATCAGCCCCTGGAGAGAAATGAAATTGAGCGGAGGCACTAGATGGCACCAGTCTGGCTAATTTATTATGTCATTGGGAAAGAAAAGGGACACAATATACATGACTATTCTATTTAAATATTGTGAAAGATACAGGGTACAGGCAACCCAAACAAAAAAAAATAATAACTCCACTGAAAAGCTAACACTTACTGAAATTCAAGCCCTGTGTAAAATTTGCATGACTAGTTAGATTAGATTTTATTATAATTTCAGTTAGAAAGACTAGACTTTTTTATATTCCCTTAGTTGATAAGTTTGCTAAAAGCAAATTAAGAAAAGATAACATTTTCATTTTAAATGCTACCTCAAATCAAGTTGACAAAACCTTTTTTTTTTCCTTTTATATATGAAGCTAGAATACAATATGGCCTATGGGCTGGCATACAAAAGTGCCTAATCTTAAAGCAATGCCATAAACTTTGTAGTCTACTCCCTGTAAGACAACATCCTTACCCCATAAGTACTGTAAACTGCCTCAGGACTTGACAAATTCAAGGATGACTTTATTAATTTGTGTTTGGTGGTGTTTTGTGTAACTGTATATTTTAAAGTAAAGTAAAAGGCTTGTCTAGTGCTTGTCTTGGTTTGTTTATTATTAGTACTATTGTGATAATAAATTAGTTTTACTGTATGTCCAACATTCCCTCTACTCTCATGCTTGAGCTGTAAGCAGAACACGAGAAGAGGTATACCCACAGGTATTTCATCAGATCTTGTTACGTGCTTTCTGATTTTTAAGTACAGTATTAGTCAACCCTAGTTAAAGCAAATTAGGCTCTAAATGTTGCATATAATAAATCTTACGTAGTAGTGGCCTGTGTAGATTACTTAGGTGTAGTCGTATGTGTAATAAATATTTCTATATTTTGCTATAATCAAAGTCATAATTACACCATATTTATTCAGTTGCAACTGGTTGGTTGCCGGTTTTGGACGCTGCAAGTCATCCAGATCCATGAAGTCAACAGAAAGCATGGAGTTTGACTTCTTCAGTGATGGATCTTTAGCATCTACTAGTGGGCAACCTCTGTCATGAATAGATTAAAAACAAACAAACAAAAACAAAACAAAAAATAAAATTTTATTGTATAATTCACTACCACTTATTTCCAAGTGTGACATGCACAGTTATACAGTATATATTGTTGAGTTGTACTTTTATTGTAGATATTTTATACGCTAAATATCTGTGCGTATAGTAGAACACACTAATGCACTTGCCTTCCCTGACTGTATTTGAACGCACCTCGGTAGATCTCCGTATTCAGCACACAGCGTGTCTCCGCGGCCATGGAAACACATTGGACCAACAGACCGCGGATTTTATCCATCAAAAGGACCAGGCGCTTTCAGGGCACAAGAAGCTAAGCTAAAGTGAATGAAATAGGTACGTTGATTCGATACGAATCTAAGTTTTAAATATGCATTGTCCTGTGTGTTTGTTTTTAACGGATCGGAGGATTAAGGCTACCGTTAACGCTATGCTTTATTTATTATTCTCCTGCCTGCTCTGCTTCATTGACAGCTAGGTTAGCGTTAACTTGGTTAGCTAGCGTGATGCTGACAGCCTCGATACAGTAATGTACAGCGGCACACACACCGTTTATTATTACATCAATCTTTAATGGTTTGCAGCTGGCCCTTGTGCTTAGTTTTAACTTCACGTTACATCTTTCAGAATGAATATTGCAGATATTTGTGATAATGCCAAGAAGGGGCGTGAATATGCTCTTCTGGGCAACTATGACTCCTCCATGGTGTACTATCAAGGAGTTATTCAGCAGATCCATAAGCATTGTCAGTCACTCAAAGATCCTGCTCTCAAAGTCAAATGGCAACAGGTAATGAGTCATGTCATGTATAAGTAATGGTAAAGTTATTGTTTCTGTCTCACAGCACGTGTTTGTTGTACCATTTGTAGGTAAGGCAAGAACTAACTGAGGAGTACGAACAAGTCAAAAGCATCATGGGAACACTTGAGAGCTTTAGGTCTGACAAACCAGTTGACGTCCACACACCCCAGTCAGAAGAGAGATGTGAGGATCCAGCTGTGTGGCCTCCTCCCACTCCAGCAGAGCACAAGTGTGTATCACCAATACTATACATTGGTAAAATGCATGACCTGTTAAGTACATTGATTCAGATCATGAAATATCTCAAGTTAAATACTGTACAAACCCTTTAATAGATGCAGAGAAATACAGCTTTAGTTTATTATGAGCGATTCAATCAAAGTTTGAGTTTCGAGGGAACAACATTGAAAAAGTTCATAAGTGTGTTACTAAGACAATGACTAACCATTCTACCTGAGATATTACTAGATGCTCATTTTAACCCTAACTTTCACATTATAACATGTATGTCTACAGAAACCCTGTTCCTCTTAAGAGGCCCAGCAGCGGTGTAAAGCAACAGAAGAAGGACTCGCCTGCTCTACAGCATCGACCTGTAAACCGTGGCCAGGACAGACCAAAACCTGAACGACCAGGAAACAGAGACGCCAGAGCCAAGTCCAAAGAAGATAAGGTCGGTAGCTGTAATTGCTTAAATAAAAATGTGATAATTATTTTTTTTTAAATATCATTTATTGTATTCATAATTGAATTATGAATTATAATTGAATACATTCTATTTTAATTTGTATATATATATATGTAATGATTGCAGTTAGCCAGCTATTTTATCAACTAACCTTTAGCAACTAACTTTTAGCCCATAAAGAAGGCATCTTCTGACGCACAAGGAGATGTAGAGAAAAGATTTGATGGCACAGGATATGACAGTGACCTTGTGGATTCACTGGAAAGAGATATTGTGTCCCGAAATCCCAATGTTCACTGGTAAGGGGCAAATGTATTTACTTTTTTAACACAACATAATGTGTTTTCTCTCTTGTTGATTTCATATTTTATCTTTATAAAGGGATGACATTGCTGACCTAGAAGATGCTAAGAAGCTGCTGAGAGAAGCAGTGGTCCTGCCCATGTGGATGCCAGATTTCTTCAAGGGCATTCGTCGCCCCTGGAAGGTAGCAAAACAGACAAATGCATGCACATGCACTGCTATTTTTAGAACCTACTGCGTCAGAGTGTTTCAGAAATGCACCAAGGAAAACCTAAGACATAAATATTACATAACAACACGTGCCACTAATTATAAAAAAAACATGAGAATTTATCATTTAACATTTATCATACAACTACTATTTATGATTATTGTGTTAGTAGACAGTTAGACTTTGATTTTGGCCTTGTTCTCTACTTTAATGTCATCATGTGAGGTCTGGCCTTAGGCCACCATGTGAGGGTTAATTCTTCATAGATTATCAAAACAGCACAAGGGTCTTCATTTGTCTGATGTAAGCATGCATAATTGAGCTTATATGCTTTTTGTGTAGACCTACTTTGATATATAAGCAAGTACTTACACAACAGAGAATGACAATCAATTTTTATCAAGAAACGTCATGCGGTGCAGTCAGCGCAGGTATTGGGGCAGTTTGCGCCATACTGGATCTATCAAACCGCTTTTCAAAGATTTAGAATGGACAAAGAGACGGTTATCAATTTAAGTACTGAAAGCTCAAAATTGGCTGATTTGATACTGATAATCTGGCAATTAATGTATGTTTCTTTTTAGAGTATATTATTGTTTACATAGAAACTAGAACCAATATGGTGGCAGGTGGCGTTTTTGCTGCCAGAAACGTTTATTAAAAATATATCCAAATGTAATGTTTACATGTGTGTATCACACTTTTCTTGACTAGTAAATCAATTTTGTTGTGCTATTAATAATAAAGGATTTTCAAATGTACTAATATGCCATTGGCTCAATGACCTTTTATAATAGTTTCCTAATTTCATGAAGATTGGTTGATTATCACTAAAAGTCTTTGGCTTTCCTTCTTTAAAACCCTTTTATTTCTTTTTTAGGGTGTATTAATGGTAGGCCCTCCAGGCACTGGCAAGACCATGTTAGCCAAAGCTGTAGCAACTGAATGTGGAACTACTTTTTTCAACGTGTCATCCTCCACCCTCACGTCCAAATATCGGGGCGAATCAGAAAAACTTGTCCGCTTGCTGTTTGAAATGGTGTGTATCTGATTAATTTCATTATTTAAAAACTAAGTGTAATGCATTTCTAACCACCTCTTTTTCCAAGGCTCGGTTTTATGCACCAACTACAATCTTCATAGATGAAATTGACTCAATATGTGGAAGAAGAGGAACATCTGATGAACACGAAGCCAGTCGCAGGGTCAAATCGGAGCTGTTGGTTCAAATGGATGGTAAGAGTATTATCAAATGTTAAATTTGTCTTAATTTGTCATGCCTGATACCGACTATTCTGATAATAATTAAGGCACCAACTGGACAACTCCATGTAATATGACCTGTTATTTTTTGTTTATTGACAAGGTGTCGGGGGAGCAATGGAGAATGATGACCCTTCAAAGATGGTTATGGTTCTGGCTGCAACAAATTTCCCATGGGACATAGATGAAGCTCTCCGACGGCGGTTGGAAAAACGTATCTACATCCCCCTACCCACAGGTTGGCTCCCCTCATTTATTGCATATTTCAATTGGTAAAACTGTGGTATTTGTCATGACACTAGTAAACTAATTTGTATGTGATTGTGAATAGCCGTGGGTAGAGTGGAACTACTGAAAATCAACTTAAGAGAAGTGGAGTTAGCAGATGATGTGAATCTGGACCTCATTGCTGAAAAGATTGCTGGTTACTCTGGAGCGGACATTACCAACGTTTGCAGGTACGTATAAAAATAAAAATAAATAAATAAATAAAGCACCTTGTATACTATCTAGGCTTCATGGTTTTTCTCAGTATTATAACTAGACTTGTATGCACAAGTTTCAAACTGCAATCAACAGCAGTTAGGTGCAGGCTCTTAGTTCCAGCTTACGAAAGACAGGAAATACTTTATTATTCGTCTGATTTGGTCACATGCTGCTTTTATAATATATTATCTACAAAATATACGTATTGAATGAAGTTCAATGTGTATTTTTTTCTTGTGTGAGTAATTTATATTTCTTTAGTGTAATTAAGGAGGAAAACAAGTTTTATACATTGACGTTCACATTAAGCTTGGCATAGCACTCTGAGCTACATTATTTGATAACAAGTATGGTCTCTGTTTTTTGCAGAATAGCTTGTCTTTATTTTGATCATGTGGTGAATGCTCAGATATTTCACTGGTTCTCAACAGCTACAGCAACAGTACTGCCTGAAACCAACATGTAAATTCTACTGAAGTGATATCCAATGTTTTAAGGGTCCATATTACGCTGTTTTCTGATATGTTATAACATGTTTAACACACAAACCCTACATATTTATTCTCTCAAATAGAAAACACTCTTCTCCACCTTGTGATGTCATGTGGTAATAAAGGAAGTGTTCATAGTTCAAGTCCATACACCTTTTATTAGAATGATTTGGAAGATTTCAGGTTTGGAATTGGCAATCTCTTCTGAACTAAAGATGAAATGTGTTGCTGTTAACTTGAAAACTACAATTTTTATGACATCACAAGGTGGAACAGAGCATTTTGAGCTTTAGAGATGTAGACAGACTAATAATAAAGGGTTACTCTAACATCTATAAATGAAAAAAAACACAACCCAGATAAGTTTTTTGATGAGGTAACAGCATTATAATATGGTGTAAAGCTCACAAGAATAAGTTTTGTGTAATATAGGACCTTTAAGTATTTAAAATGCTGCATGTATGTTTTTTAAATTTAGGGATGCTTCAATGATGGCTATGCGTCGCCGAATTCAGGGACTGACCCCTGAAGAGATCAGAGCGCTGTCCAAAGATGAGCTGCAGATGCCTGTGACTATGGAGGACTTCACTCTCACACTAAAGAAAATCTCAAAATCCGTCTCTGCTGCTGATTTGCAAAAGTATGAGGCATGGATGGCTGAATTTGGTTCAGTTTAAAGACAGGTACAAATGAAGAAAAATGGAAGGTGAGGAAATGAGTAATCTGTCACAACAAATTTAAATATAGGACTCACCACATTTTGACTTGATTAGAAAGTGAATGTCCACTTTTAGTACTACTGGTTTATAATACTTGAAATAGCATAGTTTTTAAAATATTGTTGTACAATATTAATTTATTTAAAATGTTATATAGACCTACACCGCGCCCCACAACGCCGCACCCCACACGCTGTACCCCACACTAACCTAATAACCATAAATCCTAACCACGATTCTAACCCCTAGCTCCAACCCTAAGGCTAGGCCTTACCCTAACCCTAACTCCTAACCTAACCCTGCCATTTTTGTAAATTTTTGCACATTTATTTAAAAAAAATATATCAAAGATGGCAACACAATGTGAGATGGGGTGAGAGCATGTCACAAATATATGTACCAAATTTTGTGTGTGTGTGACAAATAAAATGTTATCGTTCTAGCCAAATTTCCTAGTGGGCACTGTTAAGTAGCTTTAGGGTAGAGAGTTTAAGAACAGATTCAAATTTCACTGAATTTGTAAAAATTCAAAATTTCCAAAATTCCGAAAGCTGCTTCTTCAGCTCTGGTGATTTGCCTCCCATCTACAACTCCATCCTCAGACCTAAATCAAAACTAAGAAAACAATAGGGATAGCAAGGTCAGGTCCAGAGGTGTGAAAGCACCCATTATGGGCCTGAATGATTATGCTTGTATGACCCCATGCTCAGTGCAGTTCAGTAGATGCATCAAGAATTTTGGACTTCCAGTCATTGCGCAATGCATACTGGGAAGGATTTTCCAAAAAAAGTGAGCATCAAACCGCCATGTTTGTTTTCCCAGTGGGATGCGTCTATTGACAAAGCCAGTCTTTTCTAGTCTTTTGAACCATATCCCTTTTGTTTCTGGTTCTGATATTGTCATATTTTAGTTTTGGGATACGGACATTGTAATTGTGTGGTTGTTGGATGTCCTAACACCGGAAATCGGCTTGAGAAATTTGTTTGCAAACTCCATAAATGCAAAAGGGAATCAGATCTGTGTGACTGCAAAACCTCTGTTCACACTGTTTCCCTTCCCAACGGAATTGAAAAATAGTGACAGACGAAGGCAATGGGCAGTATTGATCCACAGGAAGGACGAAAAAGGTAACCTTTGGCTGCTTAAATCATCCTGAGTTTGCAGCAAACATTTTGTATGTGGAGCACCATCAAAGCAAAATCCCGATCCCTCGCTCCACCTTGGTTACGAATTTAAAAAGTCAACGCCAAAGCAAAAGGCACCAACTGTTCTTCAAGAAACACCTTCTACTGCAAAGTGACCAAGATGTGATGTTGCTGTAAAGCCACAAGAACAAGAAAGTGCGAGCTCAGCCTGTTTGTCTTCTGTACCTTTCGCTTAACAAACGGGATCCCGCTTGATGGCGCTCCACATACAAAATGTTCAATGCAAACTTGTTATGATTTAGGCAGTCAAAGGTTACCTTTTTTGTCCTTCCTGTGGATCAATGCTGCCCTTCGCCTTCCACTATTTTTCAATTCTGTTGGGAAGGGAAACAGTTTGAACAGAGGAGGTCGGAAGTCCGAAATGGCAAGACACAGTGAAATATTAGAGCAACTTTCTGTGAACATTCATTGAGTACGAGTACTATGTCACTGGTCGCGGGTTTGCCCGCCAGCTGCTTGTCTCCATGGAGATGTTATTGCAAAGCGATGGTCAAAGCATTAATCAGTAAAGCTGATTCACAGTAAAGCTGACAGCACTTAGCATGCTAACACACACTTCCTTCATATCGGACAATAAAATGCATGTCTCTACTTGGCCAAGACATATTTTGTACAAATACACAAGGAAAAATCTGGTAGAGGGCCTTAGCTAAATATTCTATCTTTTGAATGGTGAAAAAGTGCTCAAAATGTCACCTATAACAGGAAGATGAAACAACTCTCCATGAAGGCAAACAAATCATTGGCAAAACCTCCAAGAAAAGTTACATTGTGCAGCTTTAAAATTAGAGCAGGTTACAGGGTAATAAGAAGGGTTTGTAGAGTTCTTCATCCTCTGAGCTTTCTGAGGGCCTGGGGACCTCCTGGCTGGGCCTCTCACTGGACCTGGTTCTGGACTCCTTTCTGGAGGACTCTGGGGTTTGTTAAGGCTGCTCCTGAGTCTGAGTTTGGAGACACTGTAAGAGCAGAGAGATCACTGTAGTAAATGTGTGGTACAACAGTTGAACCAAAATCGCTGTTGGATGGACATAAATTGCAAATCGCAAAGGCTGCAATTTTTTAAGTTCCAGAATTTCCTCTACACACAAAATATACAGTCTTATTTTGTATAAAAACTGCACACCCTGTAGTTTAGATCTGTACAAACATACTCTGAAATGTGAGCTGTGAGAGAGATACCGTACCAGGGCGACAAGATCCTAATGTAAGTCAATTGGAGCCAGGGTCAGAAGGAGCTGGAAGCACCTCCTGGCGAACTTCACACAGTGGCTAGCGCTTTAGCTACGTCCATTCATATATACGGTCTATGAGCGTAATTGATAACGTGTCTGACTATGGATCAGAAGATTCTAGGTTGGACTCCTGGCTAGCTCGCCACATTTTTGGTCTTATGTAGCATATACAGCATGTAGATGCTGGCCAAAAGAGGTACAAAGGGGTTATTGTAGGCTAGGAGAGAAGGTAGGTATCAGCTCTCAGAGGTGCATAACAGTAATAATACTAGGAGACAATAATTTCAGTTTGTGACTGGTGCTGTGTATTAACAGTGATACTCAACTAACCAATCAGCAGGGCATGTCTTTAGTCCACAAAAATGTTTGACAGCACCTATAGCTAGTGATCGCCTCCCGATACCATACCACTGTCAAGGTATGTGTTTGACGAGGAAACAACATTATAACATAGATTGGAAAATAGTGTCATATGGACCCTTTAAATATAAATCTATAAAGGGCTCTGGAGTTGGTCATGTGGTCTTCATCTTCACTGGTGGGACTTTAATGGTCGCCGCTCTTACCTGAGCCATGAGGTCTACACCCAAAGGAGCCCTGAAAGACAAACCATGTGTGTCAGATACCCTCCCATTGTCCTATAGTCCTGTGTGTCCGATGCCCTCCTGTTCTACTGTATGTTCTTGTGTCTCAAATGCCCTTCCATCCTCCCATAGCCCTGCGTGTCAGATGCCCTCCCATCCTCAGGTACTTTTTTTTACCTCCGCCAAGGAGGTTATGTTTTTGCCGGCGTTTGTCTGTTTTGTTTGTCTGTTAGCAACATAACTCAAAAAGTTATGGACCGATTTTGATGAAATTTTCAGGGTTTGTTGGAAATGTGAAAAGGAAGAAGTGATTTCATTTTGGGGGTGATCTGAAAGAAATCCTGGATTCTGGATCACTTTGAAATTTTAGTTAACATTATGGTAAATGGGGCCAAAAATTTTGTTTCTCAATATCTCGGTTAATTATTGACCAAACCCCATGAAATTTGACTCAGGGATGGACAATGGGATCCTCTTTCATATTCCAAAGGCTGATCCGGATCTGATCCAGAAGACTGATTTTATCGCAATTTATATAAAAAATGGGGGTAGTCCTTGGCAGAGGTCTGCGCTCTCGTGAGTGCTTTTCTAGTTTTTTTTTTTCTGTGTGGTTTTGCAATTGGTGCACTAGCCAGTATTGAAACTTTTTCCTTATAATTGGAACTACTAGAATTGGGACTACTACTGTATGTCCAGTCCCTGTCAGATGCCCTCCCAACCCCTGCATCCCCATATTTAACTGAGATTGAGAATGAGATTTGTCACAGTTCTGCCTTTTTGTTTACACGTTTTCCCCAGTCCAGTTCCATTTCTCAGTTTGTTCCGGTCCTCCTTTTGCCACCTTCCTCCTTTCCCTACAGCTGCCTCTCATTCCCTAATCAGCCCAGCCTAGTCTTTATATACTCCTCCTGCTCAGTCAGTCTTTGCCAGATTGTCAACCTGTCAAGACATACAATCAAGCTTTCTTTGAACCTCTTTATCTCTGTACTCTGTTGTTTGCATTTAGTGCAATTCTGATTTATTTCCTTGTTGGTCTTACCTGCTTCTGTGTTTATTTCCCTGCTTGTTTTCCATTTAGAGTATTTCCCAGTTTTTGGATGATATTTTCGTTCACGTTTGATAATCATATATTCTTTTGTTGTCAGTCTGATTTATTAAATATAATCTAAACATGTTTATCATTACTTGTTAAAGGACACTTTCTGTTATTAAATTAAGCCTTTGTTTGCCTGCATGCTTGTGTGGCATTTGAGTCCAAGTTACCTGCATGATAAGATTTCAGTTTGATTGAAATCAAATCAGTAAAAAAGAAAACCTTGTTTAATAACAGATGTTCACATCCGGAGACAGCATTCCCTTCTTTTTTCTGAATCTCTCCACACTATTCTTGGATGAAAATATAAAAAGCAACAAAATAATTACTATCATAATTTTACGTTAAGGAACTGTATGTGGCCTGTACCAGTGTATGTGGTCTGCACTAACTGGTGCTAAAAGATAACTAAAAGCTATTACAATCACAACTGATCTTGTGTTTCCAGAGCCTTAACCTGCAGACAGAGGACACATCCAAATGTTTCTCATTCACAGCATATGAACAGGCCATGCCTCATGTGAAAGATCAGAAACTCCAGAATTCACTCACTGGGCTAGGGTTTGAGTTAGGGTTATGGCTAGGGTTAGATGTAAGCTTAACTTACATTCAGGGTTAGGCTTAGCGAGAGGGTTGGGGCTAGGGGTTAGAGTCATGGTTGGGGTTTATGGTTATTAGGGTTAGTGTGGCTGTGGTGTTTGAGGGGTGTGATGTTTGCGAGTGCTATATTTGATCTTCTTTTCTGTCCTTTACAAAAGATTCTAATCCTCACAGTATGGAAATAACCTGTTTACTTTGAACTGTAACTTTGTCCCAGGATATATCTTTGCATGGTCACCATTTAGTTTGAACGACGCCTTGTCTAGTTTGCAATGTCAACAGACCATTATACTCTTGGCTTATGTTTTTAATTGAAATGCAAAGTAAAATTTTTACATGTTTTAAATCTGGACTATACTGTTTTCAAGCTGTTTTTGCTGTTGTTCAGAAAACATTCCAAGTTATATTGTGCATTGTATTTTATAATAAACTGACATGAGTTAATTGTTATTGTTCATTTATACTGTCATTTTATATAGATTTGTTTGCAGTATTACCATAGACTGCATATATTGAGTCAGACGTTTGTCCTTGGAAAGTAAGTAGTTACAATAGACCAGGGATCTCCAACCTTTTGCATCCAGTGAGCTACCTTTACAAAATGAAAATGCCGGAGAGCCACTCATTTTATCGGTTGCAAGAATTTTAGTTGATATAAGAGGGCAAGCCTTAGTGTTCTACAGTTAGGTGCCTATAAAACCTAAAACCATTATCTATTTATTAGAGCATAAAGTTCAAAATAACACATTTACAATGATAATCAATCAAATCTGAGTTATTCAGTACAATACATAGACTGCAGAAATTCCTTGGAGAGCTACTTGGAAGGGGGTGGAGAGCTACTGGTAGCTCGCGAGCTACAGGTTGGAGACCCCTGCAATAGACAGTAGTAAATTTTGTATGAAATCCAATCAAACAGAGAAGAGATGTTTTAAACCAGATTTAGCTAAAGCTAGGTTTCATCTGCATAGTCCACAGGCAAGTTAACAAACAATTAAAATACATCCAAATATAAACCCATTTACAATCAAAGCATGCATTCAAATACTATCTCCAATATTACCATATAAGCTACCACATGCAAATGAAATCAGTGTTGACAGTGCTGACTCCTTAAAATGACTTTCCTAACATTAAATTAAGATTTAATATCCATGGATGAGAAGGCTGCCTGAGCAAAGGCTGCGCTACACCTGGTGAGCCTGCAGTCACTGTGACTTGTGGACCTGGTTGTTCTGGTTGTATGCTCAGGGCAAAGGTGGACAAATGTCTTGAGTGGTGGAGTTACTACATTGTTTAAAATTCTATGAAGGCCTATTAATCACACATCAAAATCTCAAAAGTTAACATTAATACGAGACTTTTCAATTTTTTGTATTTATTCAAAGCACGTCTGATAAAATAATGATTATTATTTATTGGATCTAATGTTGCGTGATGGGGCTTCAATTGAGTTTCTGTCCATCACACAACTATCCTAACAAACACGGTGTGGTATTGCATTCACAGAAATGCATGTTCATAGTCTGTGCATATTTAGTGCAGTGATGAACCTGCTCCTGGCTGATGCTCGGGCTGAGTGACGCTGTGGCTGCATCAGCGCGTGGTTGCAGCGCCACTGATCGAGGAGGAGACGTGTTTTCGCCCTTTTCTCTCCACCATCACACTGGCTCTAGATCCTCGCAATGGAGACCAAACCGGTCATCACCTGCCTTAAAACACTCCTCATCGTGTACTCCTTCGTCTTCTGGGTATGTATCTTTTCGCAGCCGTATGCATAACTCCGCATACATTTCTGCGATATCCCGTTATGTGCTGCTGTTTTTGTTGCGCGTTTTATTAAAAGGGTGGTCAGAGGCAGCATCATCGACCAAACGCAGTCGTATGTTAGAAAGTAACGGGACAGATTGATTTAAAGACGATGCATTTTTATTTCCAGCACTAAAATTATGTCGTGTTATGATAGGGCTTTATGTAAGGGCTTTATTTTTGTCTGCTGGGCGTGAGTTGTGTCGGTACATAGTCCACATAGCATCATGGTGGTTAGCGCTGCTCTGGGATGTTGATATCATATCACCGCAACGATTTATCTCGCATTTGTTGAGATGTTGACACTAACAGGCCTCATTTGTTTTATTGTCGTTTGAAGTACATTATCGCCATTACACATTTCGGGTCGTTCCCATAGGCTCTTAAAGAGACCCTGCACCAATAAGCCCGCACAGACGCACACTAAACAACAGGTTTTCTCATTGAAAATCTTTCTGCAATAGCTTATAAGCAGAGGCCTACTGCAGCCTACTTGCATCTGCCATTCACATTATGGGAAATGAGCCATTATTAGTAACAGTTACACAAAATATACCTTTAACATTTTATAGCCTTGAACAATTTGCAGTTTAGATTTAATAACCTCAGTAAACATTTGCTTTTTGTTTTCATACTTTTAGGATTAATCTAGGCTATGTTCAGACTGCTTTAGATATTTTAATAGATGCATGATTTGTACTGGCACTCTCCAATGTATCCATCATGTTATGTTGTATACATTTTTGGTTAGTGTTCAGACAAAAGACAAAATAAGGCAGCAAAGGTTTAGTTAAGCTTACCACAACATAACAAGCCCTGTTGTTGTGATTAATTTATTAAAATAGGCATGTGGGGTGTGGTGACAGAATTAGTCCAATGTGTTACAAAAAAGGTTTTTCTATATTGCAAATGCATCAGAATAGTTTTAACACCTTTAAGCTCGAAATCATGTCTGCTAAGTCATGTTGAGAACACTAGATACTAAAGCCATGTGGTGTGCAGTCACAGATCTCCACTTTTATATTTAGTCAGGGCTGGTAGGTCTCCTTGCTCTGCTATCCATCCACTGCATCAGGTTTCAGATGTCTGACCTGTGTCTCATAGCTTTGATGAGTCCTTCTCTGCCTTGGGGCAAAGAGAGAGAGAGCAGGCACAGTGGGCGACAGTGGACGGAGGGGCTGGACTGTCATCAGCTTTAGTTGTCGTGGCAGATTGTGTGAATGGCATGTGCCTAAAGAAGCACATGGGTTGGCTAAATGCAGAGCAGGTGGTCGTGTCTGTGTTGTGTCCTTGCCAGCATATTTTATCATTTCACCTTCTGTGTCTATTAGAGCACAGAGGGGGAAGTGAAGACTGGGTGACCTGTTTTAAACCCCGAGCTGTAACCAGGGTGGCCAGCCTGGCTTTGAATTTCAAGCTAAACGCGCAGGGGGCTTCTCATTCGGCACCATGGTGGACGTGAAGGGGCCCCGAAGCTGTTTGGAATTCAGCAAGTCTACATGACAGAGCCCTCCTCCTTGAACCCACTCCCCCATGGGCTTTACAATGAACACTTTGCACTGACAAGTTATTTGTGATTTGTATGCAACAGCGCAGCTCTCAGATATTTGGTTATTGACAGTGGCCATAAACAGTGGGTACATCGTGATCTAGGGTCGCTTTCTGAAATTTCAGCCCTATAGTGTAACCTAGTACAAAAAAATAAGACTGAACATTACACATCACACTTGAAACATATATTTATGTTATTAGCATATTATTATATAGTTTTCCAACAATTTATTTACCAACAAGTGATATCAATCCCTGAATAAAATAAAGTTTTCACTTTGTATCTGAGATTTGAATTAGGGCAGAATTTTGCATGGTGTGCCCACATGTTGTTTCCACAGTTCTTGACATTCAGATTTGTAAAGTGCAACCACATAATAAAGAATAGTGTACATAGGGCAACATAGAGTGAATTGAAGTTTAGTTAAAGTTTAACAAAAATTGATAAGAATATAAACACTTTTACCAATTTTGTTTTCTCGCAGACCCAGGCCTTGTTAAATATACTTATTAAGTACCATTTACCAGAGACATATTTGTCAAAGTTAATTTTTTTTTATAATAGGCACAAGGCACACTCTGTCAACAGGGCAAAGTGTTAAGAGTTCTAAACTGATCTACAGAGCAAGCCAGCTTATTGTGTTAATAGTCAATTTGTGAATCATTAACACACAAAATGATATGATATTATCAGACTCAGGAGTCCATCCTGGAAATAGGCTAATGGGTGAATAACTTGGTGAGTGAGTTTGGAGTCTTGACTATTTCTGAACCGCCTTTCAAAATACAAATATTTCCCATTAACCTATATCTGACCTCTCAAAATACAAGCATTGCTCTGTATTTTCCTTTCCTCTATTGGTAAAATTTAATAAGCCTAATCATTGGGGTCAGGAGCTCCCTCACAGCTGTAGCCTCTCACTGCTGTCTTTCAGATGACAGTAAAACATGACCAGCTGAGCTCTGGGCCTTCCAGCTGCCCTGCACAACACCCTCTTTTATCTGCCGCCTTCATTTGAAATGCTAAGAGAGGTGCAACAGGAGCAAGCGTCTCACCTCCGATCAAAGACACACTTTCATTTTATCCTATATTGTCAGATTTTTAGGCATGCATTCAACTTAATAATTGCCATATGTTTGTCTCCTGCTTCAGATGTATTCTTTACACTAATTAGGGTTGCCAAAAGTATTGAGAATCTGATACTAATCGATACCACTTTTAGATACTTTAAACAAGTATTGATACTAAAAAAAAAGTCACATTCACACAAAAGAAAATTAACCATTCCTAAATAGTTTTAGAATCATCTTGAACCGTGTAAGACCATAGTATAGACTAGTATACACCCATGGACCCCTATGGGACCTATCCGGACTAAGGCGATACAGAGATACCAGACAGCATGATAATGTAAAAGACAGTACCATAATTTAATGTTGAACATCACATTATATAGTTTAAAATAAAGAGTTTTTCAAATTATAATTGCAGTATCAGAATCTGTATTGAGTATCAAGTCTATTCCTCATGGAAATTATTTTGAAATCTTAGTATCGCTACAACACTAACATAATTGTAATTCTTTCTTCTTTCACCTCCTCCTCTCATTGCCACAGTTGCATATAGATAAAGAAATGTAATGCGCCTCTTTCTGTTGTCCTGTAGATAACTGGAGCTATCCTGTTGGCAGTTGGAGTATGGGGGAAGTTAATGCTTGGCCCATACATCTCTCTGATCGCTGATAACTCCACCAACGCCCCCTATGTCCTCATTGGCACTGGGACTGTCATCATTGTCTTTGGCCTGTTTGGATGTTTCGCCACCTGCAGAGGAAGCCCATGGATGCTGAAACTGGTGAGAGCTTGAGTATGAGGTTGCAGAGGAAGAAAAGGGTGATTAGTTCACCACAATGAAGGAGTAATGGCCGACCTCTATCAGTTTAACAGCATCAAAAATTCAATACAACCTGGAAGGCTTTGTGTAGTTTTGTGTCTGTGTGTGTGTGTGTGTGCTCAGTGTGCATTGTCAGTCTGGTAGTGTATGAATTCAAACTTAGGCAAATGGAAAAGGTTACAGTTCAAACTATGCAAATTCCCCTTCACGGTTCTCTCTCTTTTAGTACGCCATGTTTCTGTCCTTGGTCTTCCTTGCGGAGCTGGTTGCTGGGATCTCTGGATTTGTGTTCCGCCATGAGGTCAGAGTAAGAGTCAGAGAATATAAAAAACAGTGCTTACGTCTTTGATTACTAAAATCTGTGCATATTTGTTGTAGATTAAAGGAACCTTTCATAGGACCTACACTGATGCAGTCATCAACTACAATGCTGAGGATGAAGCTAGCCGTGCTGTTGACAACTTGCAGCACAGGGTATGTATTGTATGAAAATATATATTAATATTTTGTTTGTTTTTGTTTCTTTGCTGGCAGTGGGCTGCAGTTGTGCATTAGATTTTCAGCACCAGTGTGTGGGAAGTGAATAAATAATGGACTAATGAAAAGCCCATTATGCTAGTCTGCTACATTAAACATTTTGTAAATAAATCATAATTTTTGGCAGTTTGATTATTAGTGTATAGAAATCTGTAACATATCTGACAAAATACTATATATTTTTTCTATTTCTTATTAATATTAAGGTATGTACTACATAGTCACTTCTATTACATCTACATTAAAAAAACACAGAAAACAAATTATTCTTCTTTCACTTCTGTGCTTTCATGTTTATTATTTTCTGCACATTTAGCTACGCTGCTGTGGAGTGTACAACTACACCAGCTGGTTCGGCAGTGTCTATTACCCATCCAATGGTATTCCTGCTAGTTGCTGCTCCAACTCCTCTGACTGCCACCAAGAAGACCTCCGTAATGCAACTGTGGCCCCAAACAAAGTCTACCACCAAGTAAGCTCATCCTCTACTTCTTCCAAAAACTGGCATTGTTTTGATCACAAATACAGTTTTTTTAACTTAATGTTTACCAATGTTGATTCTCCACTTATTAACTCTGCCCACAGATGCTCTCTCACATATCCATTTTGCCCCTAACCTGCATATTTAATGTTTCCCAGCCCCCTGACCTACTGAAAACTAACTTCCCCCAAAACCTTTTATTTCAGGGATGCTATGAGCTGGTCACTTCATTTATGGAAACCAACATGGCCATCATTGCTGGTGTGACGTTTGGGATTGCCTTTTCACAGGTGAGTTTTTGTGCATAATACAAAGAGGTTTGCATAAGGGCATCCTCTGGAGAATCAATAACATGTCACTTCTTAACTGTAAAGAATAAAATGCTGCTGGTAGAGCGTTTGATGCACTGTGCAGTAAGGTTTGCTTTGCTGTAATTTACTGTGCATATTTAGCTTTGGTGTTCCTGTTGGTTTGCCACTGCTGTGATGTATTGCTCAATAACTTTTTTTAACTGTTGGAAAGTAATAAGTTGTTTTGTGTTTATACAATTTTTTAGGGCAGTCTAATTTCAAGTACACCTACAACTAATGGCAGACAAAAACAATTACTATTAGTGTAGTTGTAATTTAATTGCATTTGCTTTACTGCATTTCAGCAATAATCATTACTGCTTGTTTCCTTGAACATATTTTCTTCTATATTTCAGTTGATTGGCATGCTTTTGGCCTGCTGCCTGTCGAGGATCATCACAGCCAATCAGTATGAGATGGTGTAGTTTGTACGCAGTTGAGGAAAAGGTATAAAAACACCACACCTATGATTTTTTTTATTACTGATAATGATTTTTATTATGTAACATTTACTCTTGGACATCTGTTTAGGGGGCAAAAAAGAAGAAAGCTAAGAAACAGAGAAGTAAATTTCCTAACAAACAAATCTCTCTGCCTGGGATCTTAATGAAATATCTTTATGTATCTTACTGTAAAGCATCATTCCTTGACTCTCTGCTGATTCATCACAGCTTTTGATACCACACATTACCCATGCACATAGTAGTTTTTTGCCCCTGTCACATATGTTGGTGCTTCAAGTATGTGACTAGGAATAAAATGTGGCTTCTTAAACGGTTGGTTACTGCATGCTTCACTGACCAAGTCAACGCACATGACCACCTTTTTACAATACAGTAAACCTTGAAGTAATACTTTGATAGATAGTTTTTTGTTTTTTCATCATTGTATATTCTTATGGTTAAGATATTTTGCAAACTAACTACTGATAATATTGTGGAAGACATAGTAAGTTTGAAAATGACCATTAAACATACAAAAGAGTAAAGTAAATATTTTGAGCATGAGCATATCTTTTATAGAAAATTAATTTACTTGATGCAGGTATAAATTATTTAAATGTTGCCAAAAATATAAAACATGCTCTTTTAATTCTTGTATCTTAGGCCTTCTTCTTTAAAAATATGTTTTGATAAAAAATAATTTTGCACACTGTTTAAAAGCATAAATATTTATGCAGCTCCAGAACGGCTCCATGAGTGAACCAATTATTTTATTCAAACATGCTATTCATTCTTCACAGTATATGGCATGTTGGTTTATGTTAGATAATTCTGACTTACCTTAAAGTAATTGTATGTAAAGTATTGTTCTTGCAGCAGTGTGTTCATGTATTTGGGAGTTACATGGAAACATGGAGTTTCACTGAGAGTCCACAGTGACAGCACACTGAAACCTTTAGAAACTTGTTATGTAGTAGCTTGTTTACAGTAGTTCAAAATGTAGATATGTACTGGATATGTAATTTATATGATGTATTGTTTCTCAGTCTGACAAGAATAACCTTGTGTTCCAGGTAGGCTGCACTTTGTGCTGTTCATAAATACTTGATAGATAGTATAGAAAATCATGCAGAAAAACTGTTGTGGCAAATCTATTGATTATGTACAATTTTGGTTGTTTCAGTTTGAGTGTTTATCTTTTATATTTTTGTCTCATAAAGAAGTATTTAGTATGTGATTATGATTTCTAATTTATTTGTTTTGTGTGTTTTCTTTTATGAAGAGACTTTAGTTAATGTATCAGCCCTTGGGGTGTAATATTTTCATTTTGGTCAGTATTTGGTTGTAGTCTAGATTAATACAATTGTTGCTTTGAAGAATGTATGTTATCACAATGAACAGTGTCTGCTCCTCAATCTGATCCTGACCTGTAAATACAAAATTGCAATTTCATCAAGCTTACACACGGGGTCACTAGAGGCCCAGAAACTATACCATGCTGTCTACTATCAACTGAGTCACCATCAGTGGTCTTATTATCAATAAATATTCGAAATAACAGTGTTGCCTCTTCCTTTATGATGACTGACCTAGCATTTAGCCTGTTCCTTTGAACAACTTCATCATCTAGTAGCCTTTCAAATTCATGTAAAATTTAGAGCCTTTCTTTTTAGAAACCTGCTAAATAATTAGTCATTTCTAACAGTCAGATTAGACACTGTAACTTTGTCCTCTGCGGCTTCAAAACGCTCTGCTGACTGTCAGAGGTTGATATAGTCAGACTTACCACACAAACATGAAAGGGCCTATAACCAAATGGATATTAGGTAGCCTTTTTATAGGCTCAGGGGGAGATGGTGCTGAGCCACTTTTTGCTTTGTGTTTTTTTTTTTTTTTAACTGAAACAGTGTCAAATCTGAATTAAATAAAGCACTCTAATACATGTGTAACACTCTGACACGTAGTCCCCACCTTAAACTAAAAAGTAGGCCTTTTCTTAAAAATATAATTTTCTATACATTTATTGCCATTATTTCTTTTGGGAGTCGTGGCTGGTTCAAATAAAGGCTGCCCCAGAGTAACTTTTTTTTTTGTGATAAAGTAAGGAATTAAGAAACGTATCTAAGCTTCAGTTATCCTTTTTTTTTTTTTTTAGATTTAAGGACATATGCTTTTTTATTCTGATTAATTTACAACGTCATATAGGCTACGCTATTAAGATAGTAGGCCTACTTTTCGAGATTTGCGTGGCTCAAAGAACCCCTAATATGCTACCTGTGCCTGTGTGTATGGTATTTTGGTACAGAACCGAATGAAAAGTTTAGCACCTTAAGACCGTGTGGCGGCGCTTCAGTACCGTTCAAAAACGAACTCAGGACCGCGAGCCGGGAAGCGAGCGTGCCGCGCATCTGACATCGCACCCTCTCTCTCTCTCCCTCGCTCGCTCGCTCTCTCCCTCCCTCCCTCCCTCCTACCCTCCCCCTCTCTCTCCGTCTCTCTCCGATCCTCCGCTTTCCTGCACTCGCTACGGCAGGCTCTGCAAACAGGATCGGTGAGCAGCGCACGGGGAGAGGGAACGATGCAGTTGCTCTCGGAGAATATAATACGTACATTGCAAAACGTTCACGCAGCAATCTTGTTACGCAAATGAGCGGGACAACAGCGCGGCAGTGGGCCCGCTAAATGGAGCGTGCGTGCCGCTGGCTGAGGCGCACCCCTTCTCTCGCAGCCCGCCTCCGCCTCCTCACTGCGCTTAATGGGTTATAGGCTGGAGGGAGGGAGACATCCACCAGGGAAGCGCTATTACTCATTCACAGAGGCGCGGATTTAAGAAGGGCACAGGCGCGTTCAGCTTACGCTCGCCTGAAATGTGGAAAACAGTGACTGGATTTTTATTCCTTAAAGCTTTTGAAAAAATAAACAATAGCCTATATGTGACAAAAGGTAGCAGGAAATATAGCTATCGGGCGAATCATCTCCCCTATGGCTGAATTAGACTCATTATTTAGGTAAATTTTTTGTGTATTTATAAGCAAATTGCAATATGTTGGTCGATGGGCTGAATCGGTGCTAAAAGTCAATCATTGTGAAACTATCATTTGAATACACCAGTCATTCAGGCCTCGTGTTTCTGACTGGATCTTGGACTTCTCTTTTAATGTACTTGTCACGGTCAGTGGTGGAACGTAACAAAGTAAAAGTAGTGCAGTACTGTACCACCTATATAGCCTATACATTTGAGGTATCTGTACTTTACTGATTTTAAAGTGGAAACTTCCGCTACTTTTGAAAGGAGGTAGGCCTATCTGTGTATCTGTGGCCTACTTTTTAGCCTACTCCACCACATTTTTGAACAGGACTGAAAAGTAAAGGTCTTTTTATTATAGTTTGAGACGTGCTGAAAAGGCTTTGTAGTTTGAGTAAACAGAAATATACAAATAAACATCAAATTTTATCCATTCAGTTGTTTCTGCTGAAAAAAATCAGCACACGTCTTTATTAAAGTCATTTCATTCACTTCATCTGAAGCCTGCTCAGACCTCAAAATCTGCAAAAAATACTTCTGCTTTTTACTCTTTAATTATATTTTACAGGAACCTTAATACTTTTTTCATGCTATACTTTTCTTGAGTATTTTGTGGCTCTGTTATCTGTACTTTTACTTAAGTAACAAAATTGAGTACTTCTTCCACCACTGGTAGAGACTAGACTTCCATATCTTGGGAAGTACCACTCAACACAAGATCCCAAACACGCTCTCCTCCCCTGAAGCTGCTGGGTGTTGATGATGACACCCACAGTAATCGGCGGATGCCCCGTTTCAGACATGACATAGCCTATTGAGTATAAGCCCTTTCCAACTGGTCTAGGATTGCCTTCCAGAGTCGTACATCTTTGACAAGTGAAAGGCAAGTGAATGGGTATTGTCAGTGAGGAGGTGCTGATTGATTGACAGCTCTGAAGAGGCAGTGAGTTTCCTTCACTATCCATAGGTGCATTATTGACCTGCTTTCTCAGAACCTTTAACTGTTACAAAATAATATTTGGAAGGAGATAATGAACTTGTTGTAGCCTCAGAAACACAAATAACATCTATACATGAGTACCCTATAGCCTATAGAGCAGAGTTTAGTTATTTCAGTGAAGTCACTAAAAGCAATCATCAGCGAACATTAAAACTTACTTATGTTAAAATGTGCAATCACCACTTGTCACATCAATTCACTGCTGTATACTGGCATTATTACACTTTTGTCTTTATTCAACTGACTCACTAATAATAGCCTAATATTTGGATCAGTTTTTAAACCTCCTCCTTTGGAGCATCATGGACTCCATAGTGTGTTATTTAATTTATCCCATCTTTATCAGTCAGTATTATGAATTAAATGTTTCCTTGTATGTTTTAACTGATGCTCATAATGCATAAAATATGGCCTAAAGCTAGGCTATTCAAGTGGCTATTAGAAAGATCTCACAAAATAATGAAGATCATGCACACATTATTAAAGTGTAGTTGCTACAAAACAGAATTTTATGAAACCTGCACACTATTTTCCTTTCTGCCTATCAGTGAGCCATTTGAGTTAGACTCAAGTACAGGTGGAATCTAAACCTCTCCAACAGGTTTTGCATAATCTCCTCTGTTCACATTCCCACCATTCCTGCAGGGCAACTGTGATTCATTTGTAAGTTTCTAGAATGAACAGTGTACATAATCCTTCTATGTCCTTCTATGGCACATGTGCCAATAGAGCCAACCCTTGTTGTGCCACCCAAGTTTTATTCTTGTACATGCTACTCCTGTCCAGTGATGGGAAGAATACTTGGAAATTTAGTTACAGAGTACTGAATACCTGCATTAAAATGTCATTTGTAACGTATTCCGATACATTGGCCAACCACAGTACTATATTCTGAATACTGAATGTTCTGAATACACAGAATACTTTTACATCAAGTTGCATTTAAATTATAGTATAAAACAGCAAGTTACACATTGCATGTAACACAAGAGCTGTTTTCTATTTTTCTATATGATGCAGTATCAAGTATGGCAATGTATTATGTTGATTTCAGAAAAGTAACTGTATTCTGAATCCCACCAAATGGAAAAAGTAACTGTACTGGAATACAGTTACTCTACCAATTTAGAATATGTATTTTCAGTAGCCTATATGTATTAAATTACTTCCCAACATGGCTCCAGTTCTATTACAAGTAGCCTAAACTAAACTTAGTAGACTACAGGCAACAAGTCCTTCTGTTTATGCCACAAGTGTTTACTGTCTGCACAGGGCTCAAATTTCAGAGACACCACATCAACAAGTTACAAAATGGTTGGCAGTGCTGCTGATACAGGGATTCAGCGAGAGACCCCTGTTTACAGCTTTCTAGTTTGCCAACAAACAAAGTGGCATGTACAGCAGAGTTTAAAATAGGCCAATTAACAAATAAACTAGTGAACATTTTTCAGATCTTCTATCATCATATATTATTGGTTTAAAAATACATGATAACTTTAATAATTACCCATAAAATATAATGAAATATCGTTTATTAACCTAGACCTTCTACTTTTCTTTCTTTTTTTTTCTTTTTAACTTTGGAACTAATCCACCCCCAGGAAGTACTTTTACGCATGGGATTGGTTCAATTCGATACTCGACTGTGGGCTGATGTCTGCTTAATGAATATTCACCAGCACAGGCTCGCCCTGGATGTCTATCTGCGTTTTTCTGCGTCACTGGAATGATATGTGCAGTGATGTAATGTTAGTTTGTTCTGTGAAAATTCCAAAGCTAGGCCTATTCATCGCCCGGAAGTTATTTAAGTTATTATGAAGATTTGGCCAAGTCTGTATTTTACATCTCATCTATGTACATATCATATTCAAAGTTCAGTCCTATAAGAAAAGAAAAGACAAGAAAAGAAATAAAAGATTCTAGCACTGACATTTCTGTACTCCTACTCTGAAACCACGCCTCTCTCTCTTCCCGGGAACGCGCTAAATGCTACTCTCTGTCTGGATGGGTGCTACCAGAGGTCAGTGAGTTCCAATTACAGCAGAGGAACTCAACCAACAAGTTTTGGCGGACCGCCCTGAAACCACCTGCCCGGACCCGGCGGTATAAGTAGACGCGCCTACCAAAAGAGCAAACAAGAAACAACAAGAGACGCACAAGGAGTCTCCAAGAAAAATAGACAAGAAGAAAGAGGCATAAGATTCCAGCATCACAGACAAGCCGCAGCACATTTCCAATCTGATCATCTCCGGAATTCCAGCCTAAGGGAAGTTAACAACTGTATCTTACATTGCGAGCGATTGAAAGAAAGACTTCTGCTTTTCCACCTATCTTCACAAAAGGAAACTTGCCAAAATGATGATGCAAATGACAGAAACTACCAACCAGAAAAACTCCCTCTTCAACGCCATGAACCGCTTTATCGGCGCCGTGAACAACATGGATCAGACAATTATGGTGCCCAGCCTTTTAAGGGACGTGCCGTTAGATGAGGACCGGGAGCTTGGTTCTCTGAAGTCGGACATGGAGGACGGAGACATGTACAGCTACTACCAGCTCCTCAAGTCTATCCGCCAAGACATTGAGTGGGGAGTCAGGTGCGCAGCGGCTGACGAGAAGCGCAAGGAGAGCATGAAGCTCACGCGCAGTAGTTCATCTATCTCCACCACTTCGTCTGCCTCCTCTGTCGCTTCGTTGTCATCAGAAGAAGACGAAGAAGAAGAGGAGGAAGAGGATTTGCACGAGCAGTTTCAGTACCATCTGACCGGACTCCAAGGTGTATTGTCTAAACTCACGCAGTCGGCCGTATCTCTCACAAAGCGCTACAAAAAGGAGATTGGAATCGGAGGATGGGGCCAGTGAGCTCTGAACTTAAAACGAACTGAAGGACTAGTCACTTGGCCTTCCTCTGTTTGGTGAATAGAACGAGGCAGATGACAGTTTTACTATGCACAAGCCGGCTATGGTGTTGGTCTGTTCTGTATTGTTGTTTTATAGTGCAGATGCGCTGATCGTTTTGGAGAGTATATGTGTGCATTACATATCAGACTATCCTTTTGCACTCAAATGTTGTACACAACATGCCCTCAACTGCAGTGATGCGCAAATGAAACATATTTAAAACTTTTATTTAATGTACTATTTATTACCTCACAGTCTAACTGCTAATGTTAACATTTATGGAAAGGTTATGAGATACCTAATCTGCTGCTGCTGTGACAGAGAATACTGACAATGATTTGGCATCTTGATGCTTATGATGTTAGTGATTTTTTTTAGCTAAACAAAGTATCTATGAATGACCTTTCCTCCACTTGTATTTGTCCTTGTTTCTGAAATGTGTGAATGTGATGGAGGCAGATTTAGCAATTGCTGCCTGTGATATCCAAGTTACAATATCAATGAACTGGAATGTACTTAGTGTACATAGGCCTAGACCTGGTGTTTCCTTGAGATATTGTTTTCTGACTCTTATGTGATAGGTCTACTACTGGGTGTCATGATCCCAGTGTGTAAAAGCAGCAATACTTTCATGTTAATCTTTTGTACCTGTTTTCAATAAAATTTTGTACCAGTCAATCTCTCAATCTCTCTGTTTTTGTAAACTTAATATACACACACAACAAAGTCAAAATATCAAATTAACAATAAACCAAAATGCTGTAATATTGTATGGCTATAGTGATATGCTCAGATGGGAGTGTCCTTTACTGTTGTAATCTGCACAGTGAAATTCCAGTAGTATACAAAACTGTCCTTTTGTAAATTGCATACTGGATACAGTCTACTCTCTGATTGTATGGTTTTAATCTTAAGTATTTTTAAATTTGCCAGTTAAGCTGTGGAGAAAGTCAGATCACAAGTTTTATGATCACTGCCACACAGCACCCATATATAAAGATAAAACAGCCTAATAGTTTCAGATCAAAGGAAATAAAAAATATGCAGCCAACTTTTAGCTTATGTACCATATATATTTTTTACCTATTGAATTAGATTAGTCAATAATTATTATCATATTAAGGCCTGATTAAACATTTCAAATTGCAGCACTTTTCTGAATCTAGTCTACACCAGAGCCACTGCGTTTTCTGTACAGCTTTTTGTCCCTCGCACCGCACAGTAGAAACAGGAAGCGTTAGTAAAACTACAACAGAGCAACATAAGCACCTTCCATATCTCTTTTTTAATTTAAGATGTCAATTGAAAGTTTCAAAATATCAAACAACGAATCACGATGCGTATTTTTCAACGATGACTCAGAAGATCATCGATGTGTAAGTTGCCTCCGTGTACCCCCAAAATTTGGCGAAGCAGCTAATCACGCTTTCCAACCAAAACATCAGGACATGACAGAGCAAACGTGTCAAATGATTTTTCGTGATGGCTTCTTGCTTCGTCTACAATTAACCAGCTGAAAAAAACGTTAGAGTATCATAACTTAAAACGTTGATGACAAGTTAAAGTTATCTGGCAGATAACATTATTTAACTACTTTGAGCAGAAAAGCAGCCAGCCTTTATATTGATACTATGAAGTGATATCACTCTGGGGAGGCTCTACCTGTATGCTTATGACTGCGTGTTCAACAGTTACCATAGTGACATAATGCACATTAGCAGGAATTACCACACATGTTTTAAGATGGTCTAAAAACTCAAAAAAGTACAAAATGGTTTTAAACATATTTTCAATAGTCTATGATCAGTACATGATTATGATCCAGTTTAGGTGTGATTTTCAACGAAAAAGTGTGAGCGTGACTAACTGAAAAACTCTTGATTTTAACTGTATGCTAGCTAACTTATGACTGTAGCTAATGTTATCTCAGAGATTTGTTTAACAATTCAAAATCAGCTCTCTTGTTTTAGCTCTAAGTCGGTTGTTCATGGTCAGATTGTGTTAAAACAAAGAATAAAGTGTGTAATGGAGCTTCAGCCTCATAGAGTATGCCTAGGGTTAGCATCACACTCCAGAGAATGTTGATGTTATCAGCTGCCAAGTATCAATTTAAAGTAAATGTAAATGAACTGCTACAATCACAACTGAACATGGGTTGCCAATTCCTAAACCTGAAAAGAGAAGTACACATAAACATTTTTGTCACTATATGGATAGGCAGTGCCTCATGTGAAAGATCAGAACCTGCAGAGTTTACTCACTGAGCTGCAGAGGCTGCACTAACACAAATTAATGATTGGCTGGAGGTGATGGGGTTTAGGTGTTGAGGATTCAAATCGTCAAGTCCTTTTTAGATTTAAACAAACTAGATTTCAGCATGCAAAGTGGCAGCTCAAATGAGAGACTTGTGTGACTCATTCATTGTGCTTTCTGGAGCTTTTCTTGGATAATTATCTTGAGAACTAAAACATTAAATTATTACATAAACAACTTGGCCATTATGTCCAATGTTATTAATGCAATTAGAAATTGATTACCATAATTGTTAACAGTAAATGCTATCATTTTTCTTTCTCTTTTTTAATATATATATATATATATATATATATATATATATATATATATATATATAAATATACCAAGACTGGTTTGTCAAGGAATTAAAGAATTTTAAAGTGTGGATGTAGATGACTACCTACATGCTATAGTGACAGTTTGCTGTCAACAGCAAAGAGCCTTGGGTTATCATTTATCCTTTTCATCAGAGGGGGGAATGCTGCTGTTATGTTGTTTTGCTTAAAGGTTTTCGAGGCAAGCAATGCACTTATCTAAATAACCTATTTTCTACTCCATGGCCCCACATTCACCAGTCATTCATTGCTTAGCAGTCCCTCTTTAATACTCTTGAACAGGCTGCCAGTACCCTGGTAATACTGATTTAGTACTGATTATGCATCACATTTGATATGTTAACATTTATAGAAGTATCTTTAAACTTTGTTGCCTAAAGCCAAATACTATATATTTTTCTCTGCTTTATAGATTGTGATCCTGACAGTGAAACGAGCCACAGGAACATTCTCATTGTTGGGATGGTAAATTTATGAATTTATCACTACACTAATTATACTAATGTTTGATAGTGAATATATTATAACATAGTTTGCATAGCACCTCCCTTAGACTCAGTAGTTATTGTAAATGTTGCAGGGATAACTGTGAAATATAGAATCATGTTTTTACATTCAGTAAGGTACACGTCAATTAGACAACATTTAGCCAATGCTGAAGTCATTATACTGAAGCAGTTGCTGCTGTTTTTCCTCAGCCTTTGGATGCTGTTTGTTATCTGGCTGCTTCGACGGTACAACTCTGTTGCACAGGTAATATGTTGCTTTTTATTATGATTTTTTTTTCTTTTTTAGCTGACTGCTTCTGTTGCCTTTATATTAGTAATTCTTGTAGTATAGTGCACTGCTAGTCCTGTCTGAACCCTGTGAAACAAGTCTGTTAGGTCGAACAATGCTTTTAACAGAATCCTCATAATCTGAAGAAAATGACAGCTTATATTGGCCTGATGGATCCTATTACCTCTGAACCAGGTCATGGAGCATAACCTCATCCTGCTCCTCTGCCCACTTCACCTCTGCCTCCTCCCTCTGTCCTCTTCGGCTGCATAAAGCTTCTCCTTTCCTCCATCCCCTTACAAAGGTTATCCATCAGTCAATAGTCTTTAGTGCACTTTGGCCCTCCTACGCTCTTTTTCTGTCTCTAGATATTCCCTACCCCCTCACCTCCTCCTCCTTCTTCTTTTGCTTGTTTTTTGTAGCACGGGTCATCTCTCGACACAATTGAATGAAAGGGTTTGTTTGTGTCAGTGAATATCGTTTCTATTTACATGTCAGGGTATGTCGCATTGGAAGGTTAACCTGCATAGCAACAACCTCCCTGAAATTACACAGCACACCTCTTTACTACTAACTGATAAACTACAGTTTAAAGCTTTCTTTAGGGACCATCAGTTGTGTTTTTTGTTTTTTTTATTACTAGTAAAGACATATCTAGCCAGTCAAATACTTGAACTTCATGGGAGTTCCTGCAAAATAAGCATTTATAAAGAAAAGTACTAATAAACCATGTATTTCTATAAAGACGGATTAAACAATAATAACAGTGCCTTACACTTGTAATGTGCTTTACAGCTTTCAAAGCCACTCCAAGCACTGTAGTCATAAAGGAAGTAAATTATTATTTTTCTTAACAGAAGATGATTCTGAGCCTCACTATAGCTGCTATCTTCGACAGTGTTGCATATGTCATGGTACGTCAGTTCTTTTATCACTCTTATTTTGGACATTTTTAAACATTTTTACATTTTGCTCTTTGCTGTTTTCATATAGGGAGACACCCACCTGGAGGGGTCACTTTGTGACTTCCAGGCCTGGTGGCTCACATACTTCGGTAAGTCAGATTCTACTGTGTACCTGTTCCCCCAATCTCTGAAACACGTTATTCATCATCAAACAGATGAAAATGGAAATTATTCAAGTATACATACCCGATTTAATTATGACTTACTCTGGAGAAACCCAATGTTAGTGTTAGATAATTGAATTACAAAGCCAATTATAAATGAATTAATATTTATTTCATTGAAATTAAAGGTGCACTGCACAACATTTCTAGTGGAGGGAATGTCACCTGCTTGTCTCCATGGAGATGTTATTTCTTTGTCTAGAATGTTCCACAGTATAAACTAAACCTATTTATCACGAGGGAGACAAGCAGATTACAGCACTACGCTATGTTACATTTCAGATCTGTGGAGAGTCGCCTTTATTCACAGAAGGAATTTTTGTATTTTTGAGCAATAAAAACACTCATAATGGATAAATGCTAGATGTATATATTTAATGTCATACCATGGAACATTCCAAGCAAAGCAATAACATCTCCATAGAAACAAGCAGGTAATGGATCCTCCACCAGAAAAGTTGTGCAGTGCACCTTTAAAAGTTTGTCATGAAGTTTCACTATTCAGACACCAGTGAACAGAAGATACAATTAGAACATTGATAAACATAGTGAAGTGAGTTTTTTTTTGGTTTGTTTTCTTGGTAACTGCAATACAGTATTACTGGCCTTACATGCCAGATGTGTTTTTTACCTGCTGTGTTCACACCCAAAGGCCTCACCCAAATCAGTGCTGAATGTGTCTGGATTTATTGACAGATTTATTTACCTTCATAGAAACAATTATATTGTATTATATTATATTAATGGTCTCATATATGAGGAGTTTCTTTTCCTTCAATCCTGCCCTTTATACTCCTGTAGGATGGTGACCTTTATTATGACAAATATTTTGTGAAAGTATGATTAGCAAAATTTATCTCAGGTAACAATTGAGATTATATTATGGCAGTAGGCCTGTCTCCGTAATTACAATATCGATTGAACATTCAATATATGAAAGCAGAAACAGTATTTATTTATTGTGTGTACATTTTTTTTGCACACCTGGCAACTTTTTGGTAATTTTTTGGATATATGATAATATTTAAGCTGTAAAGGTTGAGTTAATAAATTCGATGATTCATTACAGATGTAAACTAAGTACTAATGTCTTTCATTCAGCTGTTTATTTCTTGCAGCTCATGATGAACATTGTACATTTAGAACAGTGTGTATGGTTTAAATTTGCGTTATTGTGTGAGTGGCATAAAATAAAAATCAAATATTATTGCTTATTGTATATATTTATCGTGACAGACCTACTGTATATGGTAGTCCATCAGAAATGTGTTAAAACGTAAAATGTTGTGGTTCAGGTTTAGATGTTACACAAAAAATTTAAGGATTAAACTGTGTAATTTAACAAAAGTGCAGGAATAATAATTACCAATTACTTTTAACAATTACTTACAATCGCAAATGTGATGTAACTGAGATGTATACTGTTATGTAAGATACACTTGACCTTGTCAAGGCCTTTTTGGGCTTGTTCTTTGTTACTGCATACTGAAACTTGAGTTTGAAGCAGTAGCTATCTTTCACTGCAGTTGCTCTGCCAGTTCTGTCAATAAAGATGCACACAATGGAGCCCACATACATTTAAAACAGGCCTGAAAAGGAGAGTGAGATTTTTAAGCCTTTTACAATAAATGATTGCCGTCAGTTAATGCCTGGTTCGTCTTCCACATTTGCCTCACATTCTGTTGTCCACTATTCGCTCACGTACGTTATCAGATCCCCATCCATCACCTTAAGCCACAGGTTTCCCTCATATTACTGCAGAATAGGGCCTCATTTATCAAAAAGTGGAACTGATGAGCCTTCTTACGCATGTGTGCTTTTGTAGTTGCTCTTTGTGTGCTGGAGCTGTGTTGTGGTTTGACCTTGTTGTTTTTCTGTGTCCCTACAGACTGGAGTGCCCTGGCCTGGGTTTGCCTCATCACTCTAAACCTCTACCTCAACTTGGTTTGTGAAATAAGCACCACCAGATTTGAGATGTGAGTAGGATGTAGTTTTGAATATAGTTTTATTTATTTGTACTTCTCATGGCTTTATGAGTCACATACACCCTGGGTCTGAGTTGGTTCTAAGCAGAGCTCTGGTTTCTTCTGCTTCTTTGTGCATGCATGTGAGCCATATGTGAAACCAGCAAAAAACTGTGTTTTAGATTTAAAAATTCTGAAATCTGTATGGAATGGATTGGCCATGGAAATATCAAAGGAAAAGCTAAAAGCAACGATATTGCCTTTGGTCAACACTGTTATCTCCTGTTGATGAGTAGATTTTGTTGATTCCAGAAAGGGGAAATAATTTCTTATTTTTGTACCGTGTATGTGATTTTGCTCAAAACTACCATCTCAAGTTTCCAACCAATGCGTGTATTTGTGTGTGTGTAAACGCACTGGCTCTGCAGATTGTAGGTATCGGCAGAAAGCCTGCAGCTGTGAGACGCCTGTGTGTGCGTGCGCATGTGTTTGGACTGCCGAGCATGTGTCTCCTCGTAAAGCGCTGGCGGCCCCTCCCTCCCCCTCCTATTCCTCTTCTGTTCCAAGCAGTCGGCGCTCTAATTGAAATGGGAGTGAGTGTCAGCCGTTAAGTGTGTTTCTCTGTGTGTGTGCGCTCGCAGCCGCCTTCACGCTTTGTGGCTTTGTGTTTCTGTCGCTCAAACTCCCAGGAGCACTCGCCGTAGAGAGAGTGTGAATTTGTGCGCTTGTGTCAGATAGTTTCACTTTTTATTTGCCTGGTGCAACGCTTTGTGATATAAACACACAATCTTAAAAATTAAATGTGTCTGTAGGCAAAAAGTCTCAAAATTTAACAAGTTAGTAAGAACTCGCAAACGCGCAAGCGGATTGTTGGTGGTGTGTGGATGTGCTTCGGTGTGCACATCTCTCGAACGCTGCTGAATGCAAAGAGGTCTGGGTGGTAAAAGGAGATGGTTCCCCCCCATGGGAATTTCCCTGCATTGATTAGCAATAAGGCAGACGATAAAATGGTGGTATAACTCAGACAGAGACAGCTTTATGGGCTGAGGAAAGAGGGTTGCTGGGGGACCAAACTCAGTCCGCTCCCGAGCCTTATCAGCGCACACCTCTCATGAGTCCAGAGGGACTTAAGTGGATGGAGGATATGTCTGTTTTGTGTGTAGCTGGTCATACATGAAGCAGAAGGGGGAAAAACACACTGCTTAATAGGCTAGAGCAAAGCGAAGGCTGGAGCGTCAGGGGGGCTGTCATGTATCGACCGTGGATAGATAAGCTCTATGTGTTTAGACAGGCAGCTGCGCGACTTTGTATGCATGCACAATCAACCCTCCCTAACCCCCCATCCTCTCTCCTCTACTGCCTTCCACGTAATCACGGCACAGTGTGATGGTTTATGAATGAACGAATCACCAGAGGAGACCGAAAGTGTAGGTTGAATGATCTAACAGTGATTGGAGTGGGTGCGAGCACGGAAGAAAGTGTCGGCGTGCAATGTGTGCACTGCGAGCAGGTTTTCGAGTGTTCAGAATCTGTTATGTACGCTCTGGGCACGGGGGCAGTGGAGAGGCTGCGAATCGAGGTGAGAAATGAGATTAAGCCTCAAGAGAAACGTCTACGCAGACTCTGGTGTGTGCATGAGTAGGTGTGCGAGAGATGCGCGGCTCACAACACTCCTGCTGTGCCTCATTAAGCCCATGTTGCGCGCTGCCTTGGACCTCGTCATTTCTCCGGCTTTGCGCTGTCGGTGTGCCGTGTGTGCGCTAGAGAAGCAGCGTGTGAGGCATCGGGGGCTCGGAGCTCGCAGCATTGATTTTCCGACAAGTCCCCCTCCCCTCTGCACACACGCAAGCACACACATTACCACCACTTGTCACGCTACGCAACGGTGGCCGTGATTTCACTGGTTGTGTCTCCCCTCCTACGACAAGCGTGGTTTCGTTTATGCTGCCATCAAAGTTTCTTCGTCATTTTGTCCTCTTGGATTGTATTGAACATATCTATAAATGTCAGAAGTCAACATTTCGGTTACTTTTAATCCACTGTCTGTTAGGGTTGCCAAAAGATTTAATGTTGTAAATCACATTCTGTTGTAATTCACGTTCATAATTATCATAATTATCATAGTGGTATCGGAATCAGTAATAAGTATTGAGTCTATTCGTCAGAATTGTAATCGAGTTTGAAATTTTAGTAACGTGACAACACTACTATCTCCTCTGAAGAATTGGATTAATGTATGACTGAGAGGAATTAAGAATTTGTCAGACATGTTGCTACAGTTCAATTGACCACATTGGGAATGAGTCAGGGGCAGGTCGTCTACTCTATTGACTGGGAGCTGCTGTGTGCTCTATTAGGTATTGATGCTTTCACTGAAAAGACACAAGAGCATAAATCTGTCTTCTACACTTCTGTCGTCGTGTGAAAATTAACTTTCACAACCGCCTTAAACTGTGAGGAAAATATCTATAAATTCTTCAGCAACTAAGCAGCAACACCACAAAGTTTTTGTATAACTAATTTACAATATCCATCCTTAAGAAACTCAATTTGGATACTACTGCATTGTTGTGGTTTGATATACGTAAGCATCTTTGTTGGAATGGTAATTGAGTGCGTAATTACAGTCTGTGTTACACTGGGTAATTGGCAGTCTGGATTAGAAGACATTTTAGCTCCTCAAAAACTCCCCACATGTGGGGGGGCAACAATGGGAAAACCTATTGCTATAAAGCTGCAGATAAAATGCGTCTAATCAAATATTTCCACTTTTGCAGCTTGTACCATCTCACTGCATGGGGGGTGCCTTTGGCCATGGCCTCTCTGCCCCTGATGAAGGGCTTTTACGGCCCTGCAGGAGCTTGGTGGTAAGTCCACTTCATTTATTGATTGTAGAAGTTTTGCAGACACTGCCAACGACTGCATTTATTCTGCTAAATATAGTGCTTTTGACCTGGCTTTATTCCAATTTTGAGAAGCTATAGTTTATTTTAAGATTTAACATTTTATGTGACGAATATTGGTAAGTCTTATAATAACTACAAAAAATAAAGTATTTGGAGATTGGATAAATTGTGAGAAAGGGAGCGGAGATCTGGGGCAGAACTGTAATCTCCGGCCTGGGCTCCTTTTCCACTCTGGGCTTATTAATAGCTACAGCTGCACAGCTTTCCCCCTCCGCAGTCACACAAGTCTGCCTTCCGCTCGCGCTCTCCTTTCCCTTTGTAACCTCTCATCTCTCTCTCTTCCCTCAGCTGGATCACAGGCGATCACGTAGCCTGGAGATTTGGGATGTAAGTAGACCCTTTCAGCGCTACCATCAAAGTTTCTCCCGAATCGGGCAGTGGGGGTGGGGATTGTATGGGGAAATGTGAAGGGTTGTATGTCAGGGGAGTCTGTGTTTTTCCCCATAGTTCAAGGCCAAAAATGTGTGTGAAGACTCATGACTGCTTCTGCTATCAGATTATGGAGGATACTACACTATATTTAGCTATTAAGGAGAGGCTATGCACAATTATATCAGTCGATAGCATTTTGAAACAAACCTCAAGTCTGTACATCTGGCCTCTCTACCACCACAACCACCACCGCCAAAAAGACATACCTGGACATGCACATTGTTGCCATGAGCCAAGGTAATTGTGTTGCTGTTCACAGCATCAATGGGGAATAAACCTTTCTAAACAAATAAGGCAGTATGCACTCAGACACACATACACAGCACAACACATCGCCATCAGCAGCGCTAAACAAGCCCGCGTGTCTTTTATCCTGTTCCTCTGCGCTTGGCTCTGTCTAGTTCTGTGCGCTGTCATGGCCCAGAGGGACACATTGCTCAGAGGATCAGGGAATCTTCATTAGCTCTAATTATATCAAACCAGACGAGAGATTAGAGGCCAAGGCACCAGCCATCAAGGAGGAAACACATCTCCTCAAATGTGCAAACCCTGCTGACAGCTGGCAGGCAAAAGCACAGGAGGGCAGAGGCTGTAGTTTTACAGGTGGAGAAGTGGGAGTCGAGCCATATGAGCTACGCTTAGTGTGACGGAGAAGTGAGAGAGAGAAGGGGCGACGTAGCCTGACGGAAAGGAGTGAGAGTGAGAGAAATAGATTGCCCTTGTCTCTGCCCACGCCGCGTAGTGTGTCTTCATCAGAGTTCAGCGAAGCGCGCGGACAGGACACGAGAGGTGGGTGGGAAGCCTCGGAGGAGATAGACGTATTAAACGGGATGAAAGGAGGATGGAGAATGAAAAGCGGAGCACTGTGCGGTGTGACGTAGGTGCAAAATTTTAGTACTACCAAATGCTAAGACCTCCCTATACTGTATTGAGGGTGCTGCTGACATAGTACCTACCAAGTAGAAATATAAATAATAAATAAATGTAGTGTATGTCATTCATCATTCTATAAATGTGTGTTTTAAAGTGAAGGCTCTAATAATATCTATATATAGTATTAGATGGTACATGAACTACTCAAAAAAAAAAAAAAAAACGAGTGAAAAAGCCTAAAATGCGCAAAATTATGGAGCAATAATGGCTGAACCTTGACATTTACCTGCTAATGCCCTTCATCTTGTGTAGGAAAATACTGTTGATACTTTGCAGCTAATATCATCAACATTCCCTGGTGGTGTGAAGCTAACTGAAAGCACTGCCCTATTAGAAGCCATGTTACTCAAATTAAGATTAATCTAATCTTTATTTTTACACAATCTGACCAGAAAGAGATGACTTATTTGGAACTATAACAGACGAGCTGATTTGTACTGTTAAACAAGTCCCTCTCAAATAACATGACATTCACAAACTAGCCAACAGTTTTTCAGTCACCTTTGGACCATGGACACTCATTTTGATCACAGGTTGCTAAAATGTGTTGTTTAAATCTATTTTGTGTTTTTTTTTTCTTGAGTTTTAGATTTTCATAAAAACTTTTTTGTCTGTGTTTGCTAATGTGTGCTTTGTATCACCATGGGAACTAATAAGCATTCTCCCAATACAGGTATATGTAGAACACCCCCAACGTGATGTCACTGCAAAGTATCAATAATCCTACAGTTTACATAGCTTGTAAACTGTGTATATTAGAATTTCGAGTGCATCTAAAATATTCTTCCTACGCTGCCCTACGCTGCCCACACCCTCTTCCTTTTGTTGAAGCAGTTAAACAGGTATATCATGATCTCAACTCTACTGAAGGTTTATCTAGGCCTGGACTGCAGTATCCTTTAACTCTTGAGGCTTCAATTAAAAATGTTCAATTGAAGGCTCATATCTTTTGAGGAAAACCATGTTAAGACTAACAAAATACATCTGACTGATCAAATTCCAAGTTGAACCAAATTTCGCATAACTTTATCTCAGATCACTAACCCCCAGTATCGTTTTTATTCAAATGCAAATCTTCAATCTTTTTACAACTCTTCAATGATGTCGAGCTCTCGTCTTGGATCTGCTCATTTATTACATTTTAAAGATCTATCCTCCTCTCCTCCATCGCATTGCTTTCACGATTCTGCTGCTTTGCCTCCTGTCTCACTCTCGCTGCCTCCCCGGGTACACTGCTCAGCTGTAGAGCGCGGCCGACTCTAATGGCAGATCATTATCATGCTAATTAGAGCACTTTGTAGCTGCCGCCCGTCACTCTCTCTCCTCCGCACCAACCCCCTCCCTCACCCCCGTGCTATCGTTAAAAAGGCCACCCCCTCCTTGGCCCTCTCCGCCGTCCGCCCACCCTCGGCCTGTCTCTCCATCATTAACGGGACGTGCGCTGGCGTAATTGGACGCTGTTTATTCCGAGGACCAGGTTATTAAATCACACTGAGGTAACGGCAGGGCTGATTTCCCCTGCAAATGCTTTCATCATTGTCCAGTGCCATTATTGAAGCGAGTTGGACATGCATGTATTTAAATACACATTTGTCTTCTGTAATCTTTCTAATAGGACATAAAAAGAAAAAGATTTTAAAAATGCAGTAAACACAAAATGGTCAAAAAAGTTTTTCCCAGTAAAGAATGAAAATGGACTTTGATTTGTTTTGTCTGGGCATTATTTCTAATTAAATAATGCTCTAGTCTTTCATGCCTTATGCCATTATTTTGAGTTTATACTTTTTTTCCCAAACTGTGTAAAGTATTGACTTGAGAAGGGAGGGTGCTGACAGCTTGGTCAGACAGTTCTTACTGATTTACTGAAGTGGAACAAAAGTGACCAGAAACCTGTCTGTTGGTGTGACACAAAGGCAGTTCTGTGATTACAAGGGAGAGGTTGAAACTCCTCTGAACTTGCATCACATCTCAAAGGGTTACATAACACAAACCTTTCAACCCCCAGACAGCAAATTAACGCACAGCCACCTTACTCAGCAGGACATTTTTCATCATTTTTTAAATGCTTGCCATAGTATTATTCTGTATGTAACTTATAGTTGTCACCACTTCATTCAACAAGATCGCAGTGCATTTCCGGTGCCACTGTGACATTATGTTTTGCTTTCTGAGTGTCAGTTTTGCACAAAATACCAAAGTTGTTAAGTCATTCTTAATAAGAACAGCGTGCTTCTGCTGTAGTCAAAGGATTTCAGATATTAAACTGTAAAAAACAATACTCTGAGAAATAGCTATTTTATGGTGATTGACTTTTAACCCTCACGCTTTCCTCGGGGTCACATAGACCTGAAGAAATTTTTTTTTTCGCCTTTTCTCGCCTGGTGAGAAAATACATTTTTGGGTCTGACTGACCCGCCCCAAGACAGCAGGAAGGGAAAAAAAATTTCTTCGGGTCTATGTGACCCCAAGGAGAGTGTGAGGGTTAATAACTTTGAGGAATCCCCATCATCATGAGAGTACTCACAGGACAATAACAAAAGTATCAGAAATGTACTAGTGTGCACAGAGATTTTAAAATGCACCATGTTGAAGTTGCATATAAATATGCAGTTGCAATAATTTTGAGAGCTCCTTGTCAGAAGAGAAATAAAATGCCTAGTTTTTGACACCCTGCTGTTAATGAAACAAGATTCTCATTTGGAGATTTGAGTATTTTGGAGATTTGAGTATTTGTTGTTACAAAGTTTTGTTTAAATGTAATTCTTGCTTTTCTTTTCTTAGATGGTATGTGCCACTTTTCACCCTCATCCTGCTAATGATCTGCTGCTATGCCAGGATAATCTTTGTGGCCAATAAAAGGGTATGTGCAAAATTTGTTTTCTGTTTTCACTTTTCACTTGTTTTTAATCCCATAACTTCCGTTCAAGCAAAATTTCAATTGATCATGATTTTAACTACTTTTCCTTGAAAATAGGGTTCTGATTTATTAGGGAAGTCTACACTACATCATTATAGTTTAAATGGGCATATCTGAACAATTTAAATTGTATTTTTTGTAATATATTCTTTTTAATTATTTAAAAATCCTAATTTAAAGAGTGTATATTCAGCGTAACTAAATGTAACCTGACATGCAAACACATGGAATAATATTAAATAAATTAACGGTTGAATCAATTTCCTATTTGCTGCATGATTCTTAGTATACGGCTCAATAACAGTGTTTTGCACGAAAGAACGAGCTCAGAGGCAGCATTCCACCAAGTTGACATAGCTACCATTCCTCTAATCTAACTTTGCATGTAAGCACTATTGCAAAAGCACACAAGCATTACAGAAAGGAGATTTAGATCTGAACAATAAACAAAAATAAGGAAAGGTAGAGAAGGTTCTAGAAAATTGTGGACACAGGACAGAAATAGCGATGGACTGCATCACTTTTTGATGTGATAGAAAAAGTAAATGACTGTAGCGTGCTTCTCATAATTCATGCAGCTCACACTATTGAGGCATCTCGGCGGCTTGTCCTAGCTCTGTATACGTTCTACATTCAGACATCCTCATTTCTCTGCATTATCCCTTCTGTGCCTTTATTCTCACTTTGCCCCTGTTTTTCCCCCTGAAATTTTCAGTTTTTGCTTTCACTCTCATCTATAAGTATGAAGGGCTTTATCTCTTTTCAGCTGCTGTCTCACATGAAATGATTTCAAAAGGCTTTGAAAGGTGGGCTGATGGTGATGCAGGGGAGTATGGGATAGAATATAATAATTTTAAGGAAAAAAAATTCCTGAAACCTGTTTCTTATTTGAAAACGTCACTGGATTTAGCTTTTTTTTAAGTATAATGTCATTGTACAGGGTAATACTGCACGGGAAGAGTAGTAGTTGCCATTGCTTGAAGAATCAGCACTACATTTTGTGACTTTTATTTGGAAAAACTTGTTGTTCAAAAAAACAACAACAACAACAAAACAACTTTTAATCAGTTAATAAGAGGTTATTAATCCAGATCTAACAATTCTGCATCTACTAGGTGAGCTTAATATGATGACTAAACAGCTGTCTAATCTCCTAGTGTAACACAAATACCATGCAATCATGCATGCATTTACAGCGACCATCATGCCAAATGCATAGAAACCATGGCAACACAGAGTTAATAAATAGCTGACTAGACAAGCCGCTGGTGGCATATCATCCACTGCTGTGTAGTTCTTCTGCATGGAGCGCACTCTTGGTCTCCAGAGATTCGCCTTCTAATGTCTCGACTTACACCAACTCTGCGGCCTCCCTGCTTTACCCCAATAGCACAAATCCTCACTTGATATCAGCGTATGTTAGTGTTGACATTTTTCCTTCATTCTCTCAAGAGAAAAAAGAGTTGAAGAGCAAAAACTATTCCCATGTCCCTCTCTAGGGAGCTCTCAAAGCTGCCATGTTTGCTCCACTTTTCAATTTTGGTACAACATAGTCAAATTAAAACCCACCCACCAATTTAATCCAGACTACTACAGTACATATCTAGAAAAGTAAATGTAAAGAAAAACAATATGCTATTCTTATAATTTATGTTTAATAGACACTTCAGATTTAATTTGTTTTCCTTCATTTTTAACAATTTCTATTGCGTTTTACAGATGCAGTCATGGTTGGGAACGTTTAACCCTGAACGAGAGAGGCGAAAGGTAAATAACCCTTCAAATTAAAACTTCATTAGGATATAATCAGCTAGCTTTACTTTTGTCTCTGTAGCAATATATAATTAGTTCTGCAATTATTCCAAATCAAACATTCATGTTATTGTTGTGTTGTTATATTGCATAATATATTTGTTTCATATATGCAAACATAAGTCCTTTGTGCACATTTAGCACTGCATTTGGTTACCTGCCTTTACTCTAGCCACACCCAGCAGCTTCAGGTCTCCCACAGCAGGGTGTGGTGGAGAGTTCAGGTTAGCGCTAAGGTTAAATGGATGCTGCCCCTAAGTGGTAAATAAAACTACTACAGACAAAGAGAACACAGGTTAACTCTTTTAAACCTAGTTCATCTTGTCTCTTTCTCCCTCTTGTGTCCACACTTAGAAAGTCACATTCCTATTTAGAAGCTTTTACACGTGCTTTTACAAGGGCAGCAGAGTTCACTTTGCCAGGCAAGCGCAAACTCTTTCATGTGCCTGGTGTCTTTGCGCTAAACAGCAGGTGAAAAGTAGAGAAAGCCAATACCTGCTGTGCTCCCAACAACTCCTGCTCCTGCGATTTCCCCCTCGCCCCCCTCTCTCTCTCCCCTGTGGCTCACACACGGACCAGTCCCACATTTAGTGCTCTCACATGTTCAATCTCGCGTCAGCCAATTTCCCCTCTCTGACTTGGCTGGCCATGGACGCCCTGTATCTGGTGTAGAGTGGAACTGATGGGAGTGATGACGTTCAGCACTAGCGCTCACAGCTATCAGCGCCGTCAGTCACACAGCCGTGACACATCAGAGTGTCTCAAGAGGTTTGTGGTCACGCCTGAGCACCTTAAATTATATGTCAGACAGAGCGTGCTTGTTTTGGTCATGGACGATGATAAACTTTTCAACCTTTATATGTATACAGCTCTATGAAAGGGGAAACTACTTGTAGACACGTTGCATTTACAATGATAGTCAGTCAACAAGCTTAATTGTTGTTAAATGAGAGGTGCTTTAAGTAGTGGTAATGAGTTATAGCACATGTATTGCCATCCCTGTCCAATTCCTCTTGTGGCAACATCTTTGAGCTTGCCAGTTTCTATTTTAGCATATTTTAATAGATTAATGCCTATAAATAACTGATAACAAGGCATGCTATTATTAACTATTATGCTGTTTTATATAGACAATAATTTGTGCTTATATTTGGAATTGCTATGATAAAATATCATATAAAGTAGTATCTTATCAATGTTAAATCTCTGCGATGACTGAGCGCGGCTGATGCAGGGAATGGCTTGCCGCTGATAACTGCCTGTAATCTAGCGTGCGTCATTAACGCTGGGACCGCCAGGCTCGCTGCACATAATTACGGTTTCATTCCCCTTTGCCTCTGGAGCCGCACCAAGGCCTCTGACACAGGAGGGCTGTGATTAGAAGCACAAGGGTCTTCCTCCTCTCTCCACTTTTCCGCATCCTGTCTCTCTCTGTTTGAATTCCTCAGATGTTTGCTGCAGCACTGAACTGGGATTTCTTTGGGATTGTTTTTTTTATGGGCATGCAATTACTGAACCAGGAGGTGTTCACCAATTACATATTTATGTTAACCTTTAGATTAGACTTTTTTAACCTCATTCACACATGTTCAACAGGTTTTAGTGATAGAGCTAGAATGCATTTGCGTTGTGTTCAGTTCATTATATGGTCAAGGTGAAAACTTGCCTCTTGTTTGCATACCTCCCCCAGCCTCTCTGATCCACGCACACATATAGTCATAAAACACCTCTGCGGGGCCCTGGCGATTTTCATTAGAATTCTTTAAAATGCCTGCGTTAGAGCTTGCACGCCGCTGGGTCTTTTCTGGTGAGTAATTAATTTCCAGCATGTGGGGGTAGAGCGAGACTCGTGTGCTCTTGTGGGCCTGCCTGCCGGCTCTGACTGCGAGAGAGGAGGAGAGAGAGCGCAAGAGAGAGAGGAGAGGGAGAGAGAGAGAAAGAGAGGGAGGAGGGATGCGTGCTGCTGGCCCGGCTACAACGTGCCTGTGTCCGTGCCTGTGTCCGTGCCTGAGGGGAGGAGGAGGAGGAGGAGGAGGAGGAGGAGGAGGAGGGGTAAAAACAGCACAGCGCAGAAAATCGATCCAGGGGCCGTGCTGCTCTGCCTCTTCCCGACGAAAGGAGTCCTCCTCTCGTGGGAATTAGTTATAACAGCTTGTAAAAGCTCTACACCACCAGCCTCTTCCCCCTCATTTCCACTTTCCTCTGTGTGTCTGTCTATTTCAAAGTAAACTGAACGCATCATGGATTAGCTTCCTGTTTAATTGGGATCCTTGTTTCTTACTCATATCACAGTGGGTATTGTGTGTTATCAGCAGGTTAATATTTGATTAGCTTTTAATTGGTCTGTGTTTTTCGCCTTGGTACGGGGATGTACCAGTTAAGGCACACCAGTTTTCAAATAATTATGACAGTTTCACCGCTCAATCTTTGTATTAGTCATTGTAGACTTGTTTCTGTCTTGCAGGTTTCTTTAGCGGAGGAGATCAGACCGTTGAAATGGTATCCCTCAGTTTACCTGCTGGTGTCGATCTTCCCCCTCATCAACAGGTAACACAGCATGCACAGACACATCAGCCACATAGACTATTTGCATATTTGCTTCTCTGATTATCTTATCTGGTCTGTGCCGCCTCCCTCTGCTTTTTCCCTTTCGTTCTCTTTCTTATCTCAACTCTCTCCGAAAGCCTTGCGCTTGCTCTCGCTCTCTCTCTCCGAAGCGGCACTACAAGACTCTGAGTGCGTGTATGTGTGTAAGCCTAGTGCATTTTATTGGCTTTAAAAAAAAAACACACACACACACAAAAAACAAGGGCTTTACTGGCTGAGGGTTTGCGGGTGGAGGCGGGTGGTCCAGTAAATGATAACCCCTATGCTGTTATTACTCCTACCTTCTCTTCCCGTCCTCCTGCGCCCAATCTCTCACTTTCCAATTCCCACTTTCTTTCATTTCCCTTCCCCCAGCTTCCTCCCGACTGCGCTTCAAACCGGTGTGATTGACAGGTCAGGGTTACTAAGTGATTAGCTGTGGCGGCTCTGCTTGTCGCCACGGCAATGTAGGCGGAGACACAGGTCAATTACAGGGTCAACGTCTCTCAAAGGCACCGCTCAAACAGTGCCCATCCCCCAAGCGACCCTTTTGGCCCACCACCTCTCTAGCTCTCCCTCCCCGTGCCCCTGCTGTCGGCTGATGAAGATGACAAACTGCGTGCAGCGCTCACCCCTCCACTGCCCTCGATCCAGTTACCCTGATACCTCTGCTACCTAGCTATAACATTTTGTTTTCCTTTTGTTTTATATGATCTACGTTTTATGTTAGTAGTTTATATTTTTGGTTACAGTGTGACCCATCAGCATCAGACTTCATGAGTTTATCTAATGAGCACAGTTTTCCTTAACCTGTGCTGACTGTCAGCATAGAATCATTTCTTACAAAGCTCTCATACTTCATCACCCTAGTCATTAATTTGTTGCTCTCTGCATATTACTATTGGGGCTGAATGAAGGAGTCAAATAATGTAACTTTGGGTCTTAAATGAGTACACTGCCCATTGTCATTCACTCTCACCTTCATTCATTCTCTAGGTCCAGTTTAAAGTTGCATCTCTGCATAGTGAGAGACTGGGAGTATTATATTCAGTATACCATTGTATATTTGATGCAAACATGCATTACTACTAAACGACTCAGTCAAAATCTATGCATTCGAAACCTTTACCAGTACAACATAGACTTTTAAACTTATAATGACATTAGCTTGTAAATTAAACCCTCCTGAGCTATTTTTAAGAATTTTTGTTAGCCAGGCAGTGACATTATTCAAATAATGAATTCTTTTATGTTGTTGGTTTATTTGAAAGTATGCTCTAAGCCATGTACTACATCAGTAATGTTGTTGTTCTATAACCTATGCAAACCAGGAATACCTTACAGTTATTAAAATAAAATAAATAAAGTTCAAACTGACGGACAAACACTAGGTACAGGCTCCATTCGCACGCATCTCTCTCTTTATATGAGCAAATTTCTACTTGCTCGCTGCGCTACCTTCTGTCTTCCTCCTGAGAGAACAGGAATGAATTGCTCTCAACCCCCCTCTGCCTACTCCCCCACTCGGCAGCGCAGGCTGTATATATCTCCGGCTCCTATTAATTTGTTAGCCTCCCCTCCCCCTTTCCCTCACCCCCTCCCCACTTCCCTCACTCTGCTTGGCTCATATCCTCTGCTGCCTTTTTTCTCCTCCTTTCCCTCCCGCTCGCTGAGTGCTGGAGTGTGTAAAGTGTTTGTCACGGTGCCGCGCTGATGTCGCTGTGCTCTGCCGTGTGGAAGCAGTAGACAGACACGATGCGTGCGTGTGTGTCTGTGTGAGTGTGAGTGCGCGCGCGTGTGTGCGCGTGTGAGTGCGTGTGCGTGTGTGTAGGCGGGCACCGGGCGGTTTCGTGCCGAGGTGAATGTGCTGTCGATCGCTGCTTGTTGCCGTGTGCGCGGGAACTGCGAGAGTCTGCGTGTGCGCCCTTGTTTGTCCGCTCCAACCGTGTGTAGTCCGTTTTGTGTGTGTGCGCGCGCGCCTTGCTGCGCGTGTGTCTGAGTGGGGGATTATTTCTATCTGAGCTCCAAAGCCTCCTAAACAGGGCTTAGAGAGACGGCCCAGGGCAGCAGCTAAAGCCGGCGGGTAGACCTCGCTCCTTCTCCGCGCCCTGCTCCTCCGCACTCTTCCCCTCTATTTTACCCTGATCTTTCGCATTAACACACAGAGACACTCCCCCAAACAAACACACAAACAGTTTTGGCTCATGTCATTTTCTTCGCACTCATAAACATGCACACATACATTTGCACGCCACGCGCAATTTTAATCTGTTCCAAATGTGCACTGGTAAATGTGTTAATTCGACACCAGCTGTTGCGAATTGAAATGGGGAAAGCGCTTCTACTTTTTCTCAGTGGCACACAGGACTGTTGAGGGGCAGTCAGGCCCTGGGTTCTCTGTCAACCCCTTGTGCTCAAACCTTCCTTCAGTATGATGCTCTCATGTGGCAGCAGCATCCACATCTCCACGTACCCTTCTACAATGTCCTTCTCTTCTTCCCTCGCTTGGACCCTCATTCGCAGCTTTTTGTGTGAATGTGTGTTTGAGCGTTGTGCACGGGTACTACTAGAGTTTTCACAGCCTGCTTCTCACATTGCCTCCCTCGTGTGCTTTATGGTGTGGGTGTGTGTTTGTTTACAAGGCTTGTCTAGATTCCTACTGTGCATGCTTGTACGCCTGTTTGCATAAATAAGCCCTCTCCTCAAAATCTAGCTGCTGATTTCAGTGGTGCAACGCAGCTTGACGTGTGAGTGCTCGTCCAGGACAGCACGCTCTTCTGTTATCAGAACTTTGCTGCTATGTGAGTCTTTGCCATTTTTGCTTGACAACCACCAAAATTAGTAGTTTTGTGGGTTTTATACTACCTATACAGTATACATTGGCAACAGCTTGGAGCTGCAAGGTGTCTTATAGCATAGGAGACAATGTTGCTCCAGGACATAGTTCTCCTATGTGGTTATACTAGGTTTTCTCAATAGTCCATGTGAGTTTTACAGTGCACAGATGTATTTGCAGGGGATTTTTGTATGTGCACCCTACAGCCCCCCCCCCCCACCTCCCTCCACCCGCCTTTCTCTGGAGGAGATCTGATTTCCCTGCTCCAGGCGAGCTGCGCGAACAAGACGCTGTGTGTCTGTGTGCACTTCACGGCGCCTTTGCGCGCGTGTGTGTATGCAGCCCAGGCCAGGCAGACCTTCCCCATCTCAGCTCTGTGCTTTGAAAAACGAGGGAGGAAATCTCAAAGCAGCAGTTATTATTCATTCCTCAAAGAGAAACGGGAGGAGGAGGATGGAAGGAGGGATGGAAGGAAGAAGAAAGACTGGAACCAAGTCGGGGGATATATTAACTCTTATCTCGTAGTATTTGGCGTTCTGCATCCCAGAATGCACTGCCTCTTTCTCATCCTGCTTTCTCTTCAATTCTACATTCAGTTGTTCTTTGGTTCGCTGAATATATTACAGTCATGATGAATGTGTGTGTGTTACAGTGTACAATGTCTGGTTTGCGCTACACTTTTTGTGTTTTGTTTACTTTAACAAGTTGGCTTTTAAGATACTGATATTGAGTATGTTATGTTTCATAATGGCAGTGTCTGTCTTTCATGTCTCAGACTCATAATAGCAGCTGAAACATGTCAAGGTATTTTGATTACATGTTACTTGCCTAAAAAAGAAGAAATCAATATCTCTTTTGAATCTGAATCCTAGAATCTAAATGAAAAATATCTAAATGGTGATTATTTTATCTGTACCTAATAAGACCTGTGACCATAGACACCCCTTCTAAAACTTGGATAAGCCAAAGGCATAGGGTTGAGTTTGAGGGTTTTCAAAGCTTTTGAGGAAGATCATTGTCATAGATATTATCCACACATGAGACACTAACATCAACATTTCAGTGTCCTAGGTGAACCATAAGAAGAAAAAACTAAAATACAAAAACACAAGTTGAACTTTTTGCTGGTGTATGCCCCATAGCTATTGTCCCAAAATGATCCTAACATCTCACAAAAAGAACACCACACCTGAAAGTGCATCCATGGCTTGTGTCACTTATACTAATTGGATTTTGTCTCATTCCATGTTTATAAGCTGATAACCCATCATTAACTGATGCCCATCATGAAAGTGTTACACAATCCTCTACAACAGGCATGTCCAAACTATGGCCCGGGGGCCAAATGTGGCCCTCAGACAAATTTTTCTTGGCCCTCAAGCTTCCAGGTGAATTGGCCCAAATAACCTTGCATCATTTAAAAAATATTTTTTTACTCCAAGTTTTTTGAAAATCTACCTTAATAAAGCTAATATTTAATATTTAGTGTGTGGTTTTAAGGATCTTACATGAATATAAACTGATGGCTCATTCTAACGTGTTAAACCTGCACATATTTAAATTATTAGACTGAGCATCAGTCTACGGCCCTCGATCGGCCTCTTCTTCTTCTGTGTTTAGATATGTGGCCCTTGATGAAAAAAGTTTGGACACCCCTGCTCTACAACTACTACCCATTACATGTCTGACCTCTGACTTTTCTGTATAAAAGTCCATGACATTTTGCTCTTTCATCTCAGTTTCCGCTGTCTGCCTCCAGGTGGTCCCACCCAGGTCCATGATCTTTATATTATGACGTCTTGATAGAATTTTTTTAGAAGATCTTTAATAAATATGATTGCATAGAATAAGCAATACTTTGAAGAACTTAGGACTCTCACAGTCTGTCAGACTCATTTAAATTGTAGTACAGTAATGGCCATACTCAAACCTATATCTAAGGCTTGTATAGTTCTCATTAACTTTACCAACAGGCATCTGTATCTATCGTCATATTAATTTCCACACAATGATAAAGACGGACATAACCTCTCTCAAGCACTCTTGGACTTGTACACACATCGGCAGACACACGCAATCACACACGCAACACTCCCCCTGCTCTTTCAGGCACGTCTTTAAATATTCATCACTCTGGCTGCTCTGAGAGTGCCGTAAACGCTGCCTCACACTCCAGGGAATCGCTAAAGCCTACTCTATCATCTGCTTCACCCTCCCTCCCCGTCTCTCGCGCTC